ATCTACCCTACCTTTAATTAACATGCATGTTTAGAAGACCTACGCATACAGCGACAGCGTAGGGACATGTAACTTGGCAATCCAATTTCTGCCTCACCTCACTATTCAATTTACCTGCTTGATCTCCTACGGTACATGATTGCAATGTTCCCGGAGCCATGATTAATGTTCCTGCCTCATTACAGCAAGGACATTCAGACACAATTTAATTTCATTGTTAAATGCATAGAAGCGTGCTTGTCTTGATCTGAAGTTTGGAAAGGGGCTCGTGTGTAATCACCTGTTGGTTTTTGTGTGGAAGCCTTCTATCATTGCTCTGTCATGGACAAAACCAACAAAAATGTTGTACGAGCCTTGTACACCAAATTCAACGAGTTCATATGACTCAAGATTTGAGGAGTTAATTTGCAAAACGCGATATACGCCATTTTGTTCCCTTTTAGAATCCCACTCTCTCGTGGCTGCCCAACTGCTATTATGTACTTAAACACAACTTATTAAGAATACAATAAAGCGAAAAATGAAGTTTGTAAATAGCTGTTATACTGTTTTGCACATAACTGTGCAATTTTTCACTATTTTCAAATGAATATTTGATTTTTTTCGAGGTTTAGGGTAGGATTGAGGGGGTAGTGGGGTAAGGGTGGATAGAGCGTAGGATAAAGGACATGGAACAGGTCGGGTAGGGTAGCGTCGGGTCTGGAGGGGCAGTGCTGGGTAGAGTTGGGTAAAGACTTAATGAGTTAAAAAAATCGAAAGACAAAATTGTAAGGAATATTCAAATGAAGGGAAGACACAACAAGGGAAGGGATAAAACTATCTGGTAAAAGTCAAGTTAGAAATCTGTATAGCCCATGGTAAAAATAAAGATTGAACTAGTTGCTTTGAGACTATATACAAATTATGATGTCATCTACCAGATCGATTACAAATAATAAACATATTGAGAGGATGAGTTGTATCTGAAAGAATACTGTTAAATTTGGTGATCAGGTGATCTGCAGTTAGTTAAATAGGGCTAGGCAGGAAATCGTACAGCAAATTTTCTTCTTTTTGGGTGGTACTAGGTTAATATGCTGCCAACAAAGTACTTTTACCCACTCTTACCCTAATTAAACAGAAGCTGGGGACCAGTCACATACAGCATAAATAGTATGAAATATTGGCTGGTAAACGGCTGCTAAGCAAATTTTTTCTGTGCTCAGTCAAGTGTTCATGCATGGCAGCTTCATGACATTGAGCTGTCCTTCAAGTTCAATTCGTAAAATTGAACTATCCTTCAGATACATCTAATGAAATACAAATCCACCAGTTTGCCCTTGCTCATGGAGAAGTAATTTGTGGGCGTGTGGACGGAAACTTGTAGAGCCCGCAGGAGTCTGTAATATTTTAAATCAGTTGCGCTTCATTGACCAGCAGTCCAGCGTACTTGATGACTATATTTGACATCGCTATAAATTAATGGAAGTGTTGCCATGGTTATTAGCCACAAGCTTTTGTCATTTTCCACTCGACTGTGAAGGCATCGTTGCCAAAGGATACACTGTAGGCATACGTGTCAGACAATCAATTGGAACGAAATGGAGTTTAGAGAGGAAAAAACTCATGGGATCAAATGTTGTTTTATTACAGTTAATGTTCAGTAGGACTGATCAATAATTGAAACACAGCACTGGACATTAATTGAATGTACGTGTAGCAGACATAACCATAACGACAGCATTTGTGAACATTAATAATTGCAGATGTTTTTTGGGGGGGGAGATGTTAATTTGAGGTTTTATTCATGGAATAATTTGTTTGAAGTTATGAACTTCTTCTTATTGTCGTGACATGGCTTGTATTTTTATAGAGGGTAAAATTAGACACGAAAACTGCTTGGAAAAAGGGACCCAGCTTAAATACACACACATTTTGTTTCATTCGCTGTTAATGTTATTAAGGGGGCCATTTCAAAATTATCAATGTTTTTAAATTTCGATTTTTTTTTTTTTTTTTTTTTTTTCCAAATTTGTTTTGACCCAACCAGCCCAATTTTCGAACTTAAATAATTGATTTGTTATTCAGTAGAATACATGCATGCCTCTAGTTCAGTGACAGTGTGCATAATGAGAATATGCAACATTTGCAAACATGAACATAAACAAAAACTACCAAGTTGTTATGAAATACCTTAATGGACTGTTAGTGAGTGACAGTCTAACGCATCCTGTAAAATCATGGCACCTGGTGTGCTGTCATTTTTAAGAAAAGTGGTATTTTTGTATCAATTTCCAATGCTGGTCGGCCAAATGTTCCCTAATTGAATTTCTGCTATGGCTTTGCATCTGTTCCTTGGTTCTCTGCAGTCTTGTCATTTGATAAAGTTTTCTTGAGAAGCACAATGTTTTTGTTATTCAGGAAGGGGGTTTCTTTTGGAGTTCCCTTGTGAAAAATCAACAGTGGGGCCAAAATCTTGCTTAGTCCACCGGAATTTTCAGCTTTGATTACACTTGGACGCAAGGCCTGCTGTTAATCCTTACCCTTCCTCCGAGACTGCTAACTGTGTGAAAGCAACTCAACAGCCCCCGTAAAAAAAAAAATCAATGGCGAGAAGACATCCGGTGAATTTCCCTGGCAGCGTTGTGTAAGAAATCAATCAATAATTGGTGCAAGGCTTAATTGTGGCACAGTCGTCAATCGAGGATGCGATCAACTCTTGGTCTTTTTGTTGTCCGTCCTTTGCTTTTATGTGTGAGTTGTGAACGCTGTCGCATATTGCTGTGACTGGCTATGCTTTTGGCCGGGAGATATCATGTAAGTCAGATTTCTAGGGGCCAAGGCCGGGCTGGAATGTTGACTTTGGTTCTCTAGATCTGTTTGCTTACAAGGAGAGAAGATATTATGATAATGGTGATGACTTGCTGGATCAGCTCTGGGGACTCTTAATGCACATCAATACATTTAACCCCTGGATCTATATCAGAAAGGATTTAGTAGTTGTACATGATGTAAGATCATAAAAGTATATTGTGTACATCCAACGATCGTGAAGAAATGTGATTTTTTTTCAAAAGTTTTTTATAGTGGACAAGTAGAATATGTAACAAGTTTTGGATACACTATGGTATTACTTTCTTCTGTGAGGAAGTGTGGTTCGTAGGACCAAAGGTGATAATTGTTGACTGATCTCTGTCTGTCCTCAGGAGAATGCTGAACTCTATTTGATGTCAGAAAGTAATTATCTCTTCACAGAAGAGATCATGGTGTACCTGCCACCTTGCAGCATTTTTTTGTGCTTGCCGTGTATTTCTTATGTTATTTGTTATGTTTTCATAAGATTGATTGGGACCGAATATTGGTGTTCGGCATTTTATGCCATCAATTCAAAACGTGAAGTGAAATGCATGAAGTTTATTTCCAAAATGTGATAAATGCCGTTTTGTTACCTCTAAGAATTCCACTCTCTCCTGGTTGGCCAAAGTCAGTTTCCATTGGTTTCTTATAGTTAAACACAATTTAAGAATACAATCAAAACATGAAATTAAGAAACAGCTGTTTTTATTCTTTAAACTTTCATACCGGTAAAATGGATACACATGTATCGCATTTAAAAAATAACTCTTTGCAAAATGTAGATCAAAAGACTTGAACTTTCTTTAGTTCTCACTTTGTGTTGAACACCAACACTTTCAGGTGTTGAAACAGCGAAGCAACTTTCCAGGATTGCTTCTTTTGGACTTTTCCCCAGTGGTTTCGTAAACTTACGTGTACTTGGAAACCCTGCGGTGTTAAAGCTGCTCAGATATCGAAGCAAGCCTCTTTTAGACCCATGACTAATAGCACTTGTTCCTTGTTTAGATTCCATCCAAGGTTGGGTTTTCCGTGTGCTTCCTGTTGTAGGAATTACCGTGACTTTGCAACCGAGTTATGAATCAGATATCTTCCCACATACACATGGGTGAACCCCACCTGTACTTGTCAGTGCAGGCTTCATACTCATAGGATATGGGTAGGCCAGAATCTTTTTTTAACCAGTGTATAGCCTCAGCTGTAATTTTTAATTGATAAAGGTTTGGCTCTTGTTTTTGCGCAAATGTGGCTTGGGGCAGTGCGCACGGATGGTTAGAATTACCTTGTTTTCCACCGACAGGCAGGCAGCTTAGTTACATGGATTCTTTACATAGGTATGGTACCTGTATATTTATATCTTGAGTTGTGTGCACAGCTTTTGTTGGCTTGCAATGAACTTATTGATAAAATCAATCACAACCTGACAACCTTCTTGTGTCTAGCGCGTGCAGATAAAATTGGTGTGAAAGTTACTCTGTATTAATTTCATGCATAAATTTACACATACCGGTACCGTACATGTACATATACCGGTGTTGTGACAAATTTTGGCCACCCATAGTATGAGCATGTATGCATGTGGACATTGCTTTGAGGTTTTCCTGCTATTAAAAGGTGCTACACGAATATCCGTGATGTATTCGTGTAAACAATATCTGAATGCTGCAAATGCTCACTTGAATGTTTTAGTCTGTGTAGTTATGATGTTGCTCTATAACCTACTGATGGCATAAAAGTTTTGAAAATATAGGCATTGCCCATATTACTATCAGAGCTAATACTATTTACGAATTTTGTTGTAATACCGGTACAATCTGATGTATCAAAGCTCTTATCCTCAATGTACCAGTTTTCAAGGGAGTAAGGATTTATTTCAAGCAAGAGAAAAACACCGACATAGCTTTCGGTTTCCAATTTTTGGGGGACTGGCGGTGGAACATGTACTGCACGCACAAATCAACTGTGGTATGAATCTGCGCGTGTGCGTTGCTACAACGTTAAACCTCAATAACTTGATGCCTCAAAAACAGGTACACGTACGCTATAACCATCTTGATTTCATCGGCTTCATTCCAGTCTGCTCCAAAGACAACGTCTTCAAATTGCATCATCCTCAAGATGAAGCTAAAAGTCGTCTAGATGTTGATCTTTGTTTTTTCTTGTTTCAGAGTTCGGATCCACTTGAGGACAATGATGAGTCTTTTGTTCTAATGGCGGTCTTCCATGCAGTCGAGGACGGGAACCTACAGGGCATCAAGGAACTGGTGGAGAATCTCACAACCTATGACGCCAACCAGAAGAACAAGGTACATACATGTGTCCATGGCATTGTGGTTGTAATTTGAATTTATCACAACTTTTGCAGAACAAATTGTCATGTTAACTTTATAGGAGGCAGTTTTCCAACCAGTAAGCAGTAAGATTTCAATCACATTTGTCGGGTAATTGTAACATTCCCTGATATTAACCTTGTATTGAATTAGGAAAACAAAGAATTGGCATGGTTTCCACAGTGGTGCTTTGCACAACTTCACATACTTACATTACATTCTCTCATGACAAAAAGTTATAAAACCAGTTTGAAGTAATATGTTTTTAATGATTCAGGTATGAGAGAAACGTAGAGAAAAATCAGGAAGGACATTTGTTTTTCAGATTTTGTTTTTTGTTTTATTTCAATGTTTTCTTGTAGCATGGGGAAACAGCATTACACATGGCATCAGGACAAGGCCATCTGGAAATTGTGGAATATCTTCTGAACAAAGGAGCCAGGATTGACATCAAAGACAAGGTCAGTTGCAAGTGGCTCGATCATTCCTTGCATTTGGGGTTCACTTTTGTTCCTGTCCCTGTTGCATCTGACATTTTTTCCTGTCCTTGTTACATCTGACATGTACGATTTTGTAAAAGAGTGACTGTATGTTCATGTCAAGCAAACTATCTACCCCACACATAAGAATAGTTTGAAGTCATTTCTAATGATAATTGCACGTCATAATTGTGAGGCGTTCGGGCAAAATGAGACAGAAGTGGGTACAGGCCATATTGGAGAAAAATGAAGAAAAAAACGTATAGAGTTGATATTTTTTCTTCGATTTTCAGATTAATTGATATTTGTCATCATTGATATGTCTACTGCCCATATTTTAAAGAAATAATATTAAAAATGTGGAATAAATTTGTTTTAAAGGAAAAGTAATTGGGACCTTCCATTTCACAACTGCAAAACTTGAAGATTTTATAGGGCTTTTTTCTCAGTATTTTACTTTTCTGACATGTTGATAAATGCAAACTTTAAACAGCCATAACTATTCAATGGAAAGTCCGATTGAAATGCAACAAACAGTATTGTAACTGCCCAGTTCTGTCGCATTTTGCCAGAATGCATCACATATAAATATCAGTGGTAACAGACAGGAAAAAAGTCACACTTTGGACCCTACATTTATAGAATAGCCCATTTCTAATAATTGCATCCATTTTTCCCCCAATATGGCCCATTTCTAATAATTGCATCCATTTTTCCCCCAATAACTGTCTTGTTTTAACACTCACAGCAAGGCCATATTTCATCTTAGACATTGTAAATTTGTTATGTCGAGTTGGGCCCTAGGGAGAATTTTCTGAGTCGTCCGAACTCATACATATTTTACATGCTATCAAACTGTTAAAATTTATCTAGTTCGGAATTGCTAATATTTCAAGACTTTACGACTGTGGTAGTGCATGTGTGTTTTGAAGTGTGTGAAATGTCAGTGTCACACATAGCTGCTCATCCATGAATTGTTTGTACCTAACTGAGCGTGCTGGCCAGAGACTTTCATTAAATCGTACTCCGTTGAATCAGCATGCACATGTACTACGTGTAGGACCTCTGCTAAATGAATACAGTTTAATTATGGATTGCATAATTTTGAATTCAGCATTTGGTACGTTATTTTGAATCTCCATTTCATTGTATTTATTTAATTTTCGGGATATATTTGTTACAACAAAACATACACAGTACAACATTTAACCAGCTCCCGCTAGATTACCCAAAAGAAACATTTAATACACAATTTTAAGAAGTTAATTTGACCAAATTCATGTTAAATTTACTGCATTTGTACGTAAAGTCTGTTTTGGCCAATATGGCCCATCAGGCTGGCGTTTATCTCCGGTTTCAGTAAAATGTTTCTACTCCCCCTGGATGGGATGCCAGTCCATCACAGGTTACTCCCCAGCTAATGCCGGTACCCATTTATACTCCTGGGTGGAGAGAGGAAAGTTGGGGTGAAGTGGCTTGCCCAGGAACACAACCTATGGCCAGCAGCTTGAATCGTACCCCTGACCCTCTGATCATGAGTCACGAACCCTAACCACTAGGCCACACTCCCCCACATTTATGGTTCACATTATAAACTGTCTTCACCATCACATGGCATTAAACTCCATGTTATAAATGTGTAAGTGGCAAAATAAATTCCCCGCATCTTGCTGTCTCCATATCAGCGTGCCTCCTTTGGTATTCAGAGTCTTTTCATTAAACCATCTTCATCCCTCTCAATTCAGTAATGAAGTGGATTAGATGTTCTCCTATAGCAAGCCTGTCACATTGGATTACCTTGCAATGCAGTCATGACAGTAGCAGGTGCAGTTAGTGTCTGTCAAGGCCTTAACCAGGATTATTGAACACTCGGTCTCATGCCAGGAATGTCACACATTTTGAAAATGAAAATAAAAGAAAAAGAAAAAAAAGAAGGAAAACCCTGTTCCTTGATCAATGTGCTGCTTTATTTCTTTTTAAAGGTTTTTGTTGTCTGCAGTTGTGAGCATAATACCTGTAAAAGATATTTGATAAGTTCCAAAAACTTAATCTGCAGGGTGGTGCAAAAGGAAGGAAAACCACTTTTGAGAAGAATTTTAACCTACTTATTTTTTTTTCATAATATAGTGAAGTATAGATCTTCAAGCATACATGGTAAAAAAGGTTTTAAAAAAATTGCAAGAATAGTGTTATCATGCAAATTTGAATATAAGTCACCAAAAGCACTGTTGTCCACGTGTACCGTAAGTCTAGTGGAGTGTTTTTGCCTTCAAATCAAGCTCCAGAGCTCAGTCAAGCAGATAGAATAAAGCTGTCCATGGACAAACAGGTTTTCCATTTTAGAATGGAATGCAATTGCTCTGAGTTAAAAAAAAATTTAAATTGTTTTTTTTGGGGGGCAAATGTGTAACTTATGCAGTTATTAAAATGTATAATCCACATCTTCACTGCACCCAGCAGCAGTATGCAAATGCATTTGGCTGGTAGATCATGCATTCATGCAAACAGCATTTGCAGTTATGCCGTGTGCCAACTGAACTTTAATCACATAGTCAGAAGTATTCCCAGGGATAAATGACCGGGGGCGGCAGCGATATTACCCAATTTGTATTCAACATTCTTTGCCTCCGACATGTTTTTCAGAACAAAGCTGCCGACAGATTAAAAAAACCTGAGCCTTCATATGCGTGTGTGTGTGTTCCTGACTCCAAATATTCCAATTTGTAACTGAATTCAATTGCTTGTTATTCCCTGCTTACTGTTATTTTGCCCGGGGTGTGCTAATCTTCAGCCTGAGACAGCTGTACATCTCTCGTGCCGTGAGCGGCTCGTGTGTTTTCTAGAAGCCATACCTTCACTGTTAAATGTTTAACTGATGCAAACGCTGACCCAAAGCACATATTTGAGAAGTAATTCCAGCTTGCTGATCTGGTTTCTTGTGATTGTTCTCTCAGCTCCGTTTTCGACGTTAGATGCAGCAGTAAAAGATGGTTTATTCTCTGAATTTAATGAAGTGTGTGGGATTAAATTATTCCATGTCTTTCATATCACAAATATGCCACACAGTATTGTCTACATTACATTCAGTGCACACTGAAATATTCAAATGCACTTAGGTTTTGGACAACTCATGCAAAAATTATGAGTAAAAAAAAATTATTTCGTAATGGCATAAATTATTTTATGTCTTTCAAGTCACAACATGTCCTTGTGAATACGTCTAAATTAAGACAACAGTGCACTGGCTTTCCACGGTGAAGCTAGCACACTGACACTTAAATGTGAATTCACTTAGGTGTTTGCATCTGATTGTCATCCAGTTAGTAAGCATTTGAGTGAATCTTTCGAATGAAATTGTTGTTTTTGCAGCACGGGGACAATGCAATATACTGGGCAGCAAGGCAGGGCCAGGTTGAACTCATAGAATACTTGAAGGACAAAGGGTGTCCAGTCAATGAACAAAACAAGGTGAGTATCACAGATATCTGTTGGAGATTTGATGGGTATGAATATCCCAAAAAGGTGTTCTCAAGTACAAGACTGACAAGTACGAGTATGATGAGTATGCCCTATAGGACATTTTAAGGGGGGGGGGGGTATGCTGCCTGTCATTTGTGCCACTTCATACCTCTTTGACTAGTCATTCATGACTTTTTTGTGTGCATGCAAACCATAAAGAGCACCTGTCTATGTTATTAACTGTCAACATTGAAGGAGCGTTTTGTGTGTCGTTAGTGCCAGTGAAGTCTTTTTTTTTGTTAATACAGAGAAAGATTGATTTTTCTGACTTTTGAAGACGCAACTTCCAAATTCTGCAGGTGCAGTACAGGTGCATTTTTGCCTTAGTAGAGCCCAATAACTGGATTGTTGTAACGAAAGGTTCTTACTGTGTGACAATAGCAGCTGAAATCAGTTTACTTTGTGATTCCACATAGCTTTGTGCATTGGCATATAGTTTTGAATTAATTAAAATTAAAAGTAATGACAGATTTCTGTAATATTCTATAATGTTATTTTATTTCTTTCTGTTTACAATGAAACCAAAGAGCCCTCAAGGCACTGTAGCTTGAAAGCCTGAAGAAACCTAAGACAATGAAAAGAATTACAGTTTTAGAGGTGGGAGGAAAACCCCAGAGGAATATTCTGGGGGAAACCCACGGAATCAGGTAGGGACTGAAAACCAATCCACATGTGGACCAGAGTAGGAATCAAACCCTGGTCATAGCGGTGGAAGGCGACGAAAGTAACCACTATATGCATGATGCAGTATAGTTTTTAAAGAATTCGCAACTCGTGAAAGAAATCTTTATCAAAAATTGTCCAAATTTTAATGCTGTTTATTTGTCAAAGAAATTTTGGTTGTTTTAACTATTTTGTATTTGCATCTTGGATAATTGTGCGTCAAAAAAAACACAACAATGGGCAAATTATGCAAGTGCTAGGAATAGCTTTGAATAATCTTATACAGCATTGTACACTCGGTGCATTACATGAGCTTCAATAAAAATTCACAAGTTTGCTCATTTGGTACAGACAATCCCTTACTGCTTACAATAAAAAGTGTACTCGTGCAGACTCCCAACCACTCAACCATTAAGCTCACTTAGTTCGTCTGGCAGGATTAAATCAACTAAAGCAGAGACTGCCATGGTTAATCATTTACAGCGGATACGCGCACACGTTGCGCCGTTTGCGTAGCAAAATCATGAAACGTTCAATTACTGATCGTGCTTTTCGGTTTTGGGCATACTGGCTTCGGTAACGCTCCGGTATGGAATACAAACGCAAATATGCAAATAGCCAAACAAAAAACGTACACAATTTTGAGTTCTCCATAGCTTTGTGTACAAACATGGATGCGCCCAGCAGGCATCACTTTGTACATGAGTCAGCGCTCTAGTAATTTAATATAGCTCTATGGTAATGGATCACTTGAACTAGGGAAATTGATATCTACTTTTTAAAGTGATGGACAAAGTCCGATTTAAAAATGCTAATACCACCCTGATAAAAAGTGAATCATACAAAATGTGAATCATGCAAAATATACAAAACTGACTTCTAATGTTCTGACGTCTATTCTTTCAATTTCTCCTCTTCAGACAAAGGAGACCCCACTCCACGTAGCCTCTCGTTACGGCCAGGTAGAGGCAGCCCAGTACCTGTGCAGTCTGGGCATCAATGTGGACATACAGGATGAGGACGGGGAGACACCTCTACACATATCAGCCTGGCACGGCTACGTAGGCATTGTACAGAAACTCTGCCACATCAACGCAGACCTAGACCTCAGAAATAAGGTGGGTAGTGTATGGGCTTCGTGCGCCGACGAAAGAGGGCGCCCTTTTACCTAGCAATGACGTCCCATGGGCTGGACATTCAGCTGGTTGGCACGCACCGTTCCTTGTGTGCGACGCACGTACATGTACACCAGGGGATTTGTACTATGAACACGCAGTGGTGGTACGGCCGCGCGTTGCGGCAAAATTGCAGTCAGGCAAGATGGCACGGTCAGTCACCCCAAACTGTACTTTCTTTGCCAGTGAGGGGGTACTTGTGAACGGAGCGGAGTGGCATTTTGTTTTGGAGGGTTTTTATGGTTCCACTGCCCCAATCTGGACTGACCCTTGGTCACGATACCACCCCCAAATCACCCAAGTTTGGTTTGATGACAATGTTGTAGACGGGTCCATCATAAGACCTAACAATCCTCACGAGTCCATCTTAAGTCAATCTTAAGTCACAGTGTTGTTTTTGAGTCCCTGCAAGTGTAGTCCATCACAAGTCCATCACAAGTCCATCACAAGTCCCTGCAAGTCCATCACATGTCCATCACAAGTCCCTGCAAGTCCATCACAAGTCCATCACAAGTCCATCACAAGTCCATCACAAGTCCATCACAAGTCATCCAGTCTCAAGTCAAGTCACTAGCTATTCAAATGAACTGTTACAAAAGCATTCCTGTGCCATTGTTCATCCCATCACTTGTGACTGGACTTGTGACAGGACTTGTCACTGGACTTGTGATGGACTTGTGATGGACTTGTGAAAGAGCTTGTGATATGTACTCAAACACAACACTGCCAAGTCATCTAGTCCTAAGCAAGTCACAAGCGATGCAAATGAAAGTCTGTCAAAGGCCTTGCTTTGATATTGCGACTGGACTTGTAAATGGTCTTGTGATATACAGTTGCGATTGACTAGAATACAGCACTGTTTTGTCGATCCAGCAAGGAGTAATTACAACAATGTAATACAATGTAGTCAGTGTTGAGATTTGTCAGGATCTTTTCCTGATTTGAGGATTTTTAAAAGTCCCTTTTGAAATATGGACTTCCCGAGGCTTGACCATAAGTTGGCTTAGCAAACAGGTATTTCAAGGGATGCCTTTAGGCAAATCAAAACATATGCCACAGACCCTACATTGCTCTCTGGCCCTCGGCTGACCTCAAACCCTCTGCCAATTAGTCTGTAATTGAGGTAATCCTGAGGTTATCCTGTCGTGGCGCACTGTATTTGTGAATCTCTCAAAAATAAGTCTTCCATGAATCTCCTGCTCATTTTCCACTCACAGGATGGTGAGACCCCCCTCTTGTGTGCCTCGGCTAGGGGTCATCTGGAGATAGTGTCCATCCTGGTCAAGGCAGGGGCCAAACTAAACAGCACGGACAAGCAGGGACTGACGTCGCTACACCACGCGGTCAGGAGGCATCATTATAACATCGTCAGGTTCCTGTGCGAGAGTAACTGTGACGTCAACACGCAAGATAAGGTATGCTGAATAGATTAGGTCGGTGTAGGTGTACTTTCTTCGCCTTCCACCGCTGTGACTCAGGTTCGAATCCCGCCTGGGTCATCATGTAAATTGGGTTTCAGTCCCTACCTGATTCCATGGGTTTCCCTGAAATGGCATGCATTCCAGGGTTTTCCTCCCAACCCTAAACCTGTAATTTCTCTGATCATCTACATTGTACCAAGCGACACCATTAGAAAAAAGTCAGAAGACTCTCATGGGCTATCCTGGCCAAATACAAAATGATTAAAAATTAGATTAGACATCAGACATCAGTTTAGACAAATTAGACATCATTTGGGATAAGCCCTGCCTTGCATGACCTGTGTACATTTCTCACTGTGCTTGTGAGCTGGTTTGACCTTGAAGCCTCTGTGGTCACCTGACCAAACGTGATGATCTGATTGGTCACAACTCACTGTTTGCTTGTAAGGCAGGAAGGTTCATTGATCGTGTAAACAAGTGTTCTACAAGCCTTATTGACTTCAGTGATTAACTGTGGGCAGATCTTGAGAGCTATTTGAAAGACAGCCATCCTCTTGAAAGTTGAAACTGCTTGAAATAGTGATTTCTGCATACATTTCTTACTTGCATCAGTTTGATTACTTCCTAGCATTGACAGATAAAAAAATCTCATCACAAATGACAACTGTTGTATAGTGATCCACTGTGTGTAAATTGGTTGGTACAGTTTCCCTGCACAATTAGTTTCCTTATCCAAATTTAAGGGTGATAAGTATGTTATGATTTTTTAACTGTTTTTGTTTGATTCAGTTTGGTGAAACAGCTCTTCATATAGCAAGCAAAGATGGGTCCCTTCTTATCCTTGAGTTACTGCATTGCGCTGGCAGCAATGTAGACACCATAAGTAAGGTAAGGAATGTGCACATGTTAGCTCCAAATCATGGAGTAAAGCATAGAAGTTTAATCCCAGAAAACGGTTCTTTTGCACATGTACTTTTAATGAGGCAGTTCCCGTCTGCTAAGCTCTTCTAAGTGGATGCCAGAGTGAATCTAAGGGAGCATTGTTGACATCTTAAGACTGATGCTGCGTTACGACAAAATAGCAAACTTGTATCCAGAGCAGTCAGGGCCTGTCTCAATTCATATCCCGGACAAGTTCCGGACAAGTTCATGACAACTTCCGGGTATAAGTTTCAGGATTCTGAACAACCTCCTCGCAATCTTCTCGCAATTAAGTTATCAGTGTCGATGAGTCAAGTAGTTGCTAATTACATGTAGAATTTCACCGAAACATGTCCGGGACAAATGCAGAGCTTCTTCCAGACAAAGTGAATGATTCTACCCACAACTTGTCAGGAACTCGTCCCAGATATGAATTGAGAGGGGCCCTAATTTGAAGGCAAGATGGCCTGCTATTTGTAAGTTAAGCCCGATCCTGAAACAGAATGCATGTGTGTTACTTTGTATGGACTAAATATGTATCTATTTCCTTTATTTACTGTTACAGAGTGAAATGTCTCCACTTCAAGTGGCCGCCAAGCATGGCCACATAGAAATAGTCAGGTACCTGTGCCTCTCTGGATGCAAACTGGAGCACAGAAACAAGGTACCCAACTACACTCAGATTTTTGTTAAACATAAACCACGTAAAGGAAATGTGAAGAGTATCCTGACCAATCCAGTTGCACACTTGAGAGGAGGTGGTAGAGATTTTGATTTCACCCTCATTCCAGGAATCCGGGCCCCCCCCCCCCCCCTCCTTTCAAAACTCAGGCGTGAAGCGACGAAATGGAATGAAATTTGGCACACATGTAGAACAATTTAATCTGAACATAATCACAGAATTTGATGTTCATAAGGTCAATTTTCACAAATTGGGAATCAAAATGTGCGCTACACATGAAGCTTGAAAGTTATGATAGCTAATGGCGAGAAACACACATTTGGCGAAAATATTGGGGAGGGGGGCAATCCACCTCTCCCCTGCCCCCGACTCTTTTACGGTTAAGTGACAAGCTATTCAAATACAAAGTTACAAATGCGTTCTTTTGTCCATTGTTCATCCCTGTTACTTGTGATCTGACATGCAATTTGACTTAAGATTAACCACCGGTACATATTGACTTGTGATTAACTTGTGACTGACGTGAAGTAGGTCATGTTTTTCCACTTAATTTTAAACCATGAGATATTTGCAAAAGGTATTAGGTTGATATTGAACCTGGGACCGCATGCCTGTCAGTGGAATCCATTTTAGAGTTGTCCTGCATATGTGTTTGTATTGCAGGATGGTCTGACGGCCTCACAGATAGCAGCCCTGGAGGGACATGAAGATGTGGTTATTATGTTCAGACAGGTGCAAGGGGTAAGTCACACCAAATACCAAACCAAATGCATAGGGATCTGTTTACCAATAGCAGTAATTGAGTCTCACTTCACTGCATCATGGCACAAAGTCAAAAGCTGACGTAGACAGACTAATCAAATGATATTCTGAACAACTGGACATAACTGTCATCAGAAGTAACTTATTATTTAACTTGACACTGTGCATCGACCCGATTGACTGAGAACGTCCATAAAGTGAGCGGACACTGACATTTCTGGTTAACTGTGGACGTAAAAACATGCGTTTAAGCCCAAGTGTAACCTGTGAAACACTGGCACAGTAAGCCCAGAGTTTTCTGCCACAATAAATAATGGTATCTCACATGTATGGTTTCTCTTAGCTACGTCATACGTGAACATTGCACTAAAATCGTCAAATTGTCTGTGTTCAATAAGTGTGACAATTACCCCAGGTCATGATTTCACAAATTTCAAATACTAGCTTCTGACTAGCGCCCCTTGAACAAACACATTGACAAAATGGGGAACTGCCATCACAGGGCTGGATAGCTCAGTTGGTAGAGCACTGGAATGGCAATCTGGAGGTTGCAGGTTCAAACCCTACTCCAGCCATTGTCTTTGTTCAACTTTTAAAAAATATCACAGACAATATTTGTGCTTTATACCATTAGTTTTCTGTTCTGTTATACAAATTGCTGACAACCTTGACATTTTAATGAATTATCGCCCGTAACTTTTTATTGTCTTTTGCATTTCCAAGGAAAAGATGAGAGAAGTGTATGTCCACCAACTCAGCTCCAACTCTGGGTCCCTCTCCCGGATCCGCCTGAAAATCTTCGGCCACCAGGGGGTGGGCAAGAGCACCCTCATTGACTCGTTAAAGTGCGGCTACCTGCGGGGCCTCTTCCGTCGCTCCAAGTCCAACCTGTCGCTGATTGGTCGATCGGCGACCAAGAAGTACATGGCTAGTAAGGAGAGTCTGACGGGCAGATCTAGCTCAACTAGCAGTGCTGAGCCAGACTATAACGGCACTAAAGGAATCGAGATCTCCCATATCAATGTACCAGGTAAAGAAATGTAGGGTTGTGCTAGGGTGGTTCCGCAAGGGTGGTCCTATGCACTTTTGTGCCCTTTTGGAGGGTAAGACAAAAAAGGAGGTAATCTCGAACAACATGCGTCATACCTTACTTGCAAGAAATTCTTATCGGCTTTGTAACATTGCACATAAAAAGCCACACTGAGAATTCTTACAATAAGGTGTGATGCACGTCATATTAGATGGATCCTTGTACCTTTTTGGGGAACAAAAATGTTTGAAAAAATAGGTCTCACATAATGTTTAATTTAGTCAGTACCTTGATATATTTGAAATAGGGCCCATTTTAACAGTCCTAAAACTAATTGTACTCCAAAGGAGTGGACACACTTGAGATTTGACCGCTGCTTTCAAGATAATCCTGGATCTGCCCTATTTTGTTGGGTTTTTTTTTTTTAGTTTTTTTTTTCTTTTTCGTCACAAGCTCCTGTCCCTCTGTCCCTCTTGTTACTGGGACTATTGCCTAGTATTTGTGTTTGGTACTAAAATGATTTCTTTGGAGCATTTCCCAGGTAAAGCTTCCTAAGTAAAGAATCTGCATGATTGGGTACAGTGATGGTGGCCTTTTACATGCGGAGGTCTAGCAAACCTGTATTTGCATGTAACTGCCTTTTAAAAGAACTCACTTGGACTAAGTCCAATCCATTTTGGTGCAGCTACATTGTACATTAAAATCAATTAAATTAAAATATTACACAAAATATACAACAAAACTTGAATGAAACAAAAAATTAAACTCGAAAGTGTTTTTTCTCTGTTTGAAGGTGCTGGTGAGTTTTCCGTCATGGAGTTTTCAGGTGCCGAGTCCTACCACACGAGTTACTGCCACTTCATGGACGACGACGGAGCAATCAATCTCATCGTCTTCAGACTAGATGACTCATTTGAGGATCAGCTATCTCAGGTTACCTACTGGATGAACTATCTCAAGTCCAGGTTACCGGTGTCGGAACCAATCGGTGAGGATACTTCAATGGTGGCATTTGCTTGGTGTTTTCGACTTGAAGGAGCATACAGGCTCTTAAACTTTGTAGATCGCTCATAGTCTTTTTTAAAATGGAAATAATGAAACTAAAACTTCGAACAGAGCCTGTTTAGTTTCATTTGTATTACTCTTTAGCACCGAGGGATATTCCCAGAGTACTTTTGCAGTACAGACTAATAGATTTAATTGAATTTGTGCACAGACATGAGAATTTTTTTTCTAAAAATCATTTGTATGTCAGTGTGCTTCTCTGTAATCATGTAAATTACCACCTTCATGTAAGTATTGGACATGGCCACACAAGATAAATGCAAAACTGAAGCATGCAAATATCACATGAAACACAGGCAGAACACTGTTCAGTTCTGTGTTTGGATAGTATAAAAGAATATCCAAATGGGGTATATTCCATATTGGGTTTTGCCCTTCGACATATTTTATAAACGTGTGTATACTCGGTTTTGTCCCGCGTGATTGTGAGGAAAAAAATTCACAGTTGTGAATATTTTTTTCTCACAATCACTTGAGACAACACTGAGTATACACACGTTTATAAAATATGTCGATGAAGGAAACTGTTTGGTTGGGACTTGAACCCAAGGCCCCCTGCTTACATATACTTAATACTAGTGCAGACGTCTTACCACTCGACCACGGAGCTTGTGGGGAGCTGGTTAGAATCTGATATAGCAGGGGGTACCGCAACCAAACTATTCATAAGCTGGAGTAAATTACATGTATATGTCCCTGCTCTGTAACAGAAAAAAAATGCTCTAGTGTTTAAAATAAAAAAAACTTGAATCTGTGATTATATGTTTTCTATGAGTTTGAGCAGAATTTGATTCCTACAGTAATGATAAATCCATGTTATGTTTAGGTCATTGTGGCAAGTACAGCCAACAGATGAAAGTGGCTCTAGTAGCGACCCATGCAGACTGCCGCACCTGTCCCAAGCTACCCTCAGGAGAGCTCATCAGCGGGGAAGGCAACATCGTCCTGTATCAGATCAAGAAGAGCTTCGGCAGGCTCTTTGACATCTGTGAGATGCTGTTTGTGGTGGACGCTAACAACTCCCAGTCCAGGGATATGAAGCTGTTACGGACGCACCTGTCCAATCTCAGGAATGCAGTGGTCAAGGTAGTAGTAGTTGCATACTGCTTGATCTTTGTCAATGAATTTTACTTTGAAACACATTTTGTGTAACTTTCTACTCTTAATGTTTTTCAACTATTTGACATCCATTTTTGATTCATTTTTCATTGAAAAGTGCACTTCTTTAATATTAAAAAGAGTCCATGCTTTTCCGGACAATTGAGGATGTTGTTGCTGTGATATCATTTCAGAAAGGTTTACTCCATGGCTTACTGCCATGTACCGAAAAAAAAAATCGAATCGCCAAAGAAATTTTATGACAGCGAAACGTCCACAGTTCTGGCAACTTTTGATGCTGAAATAGCTGTAACATTGAGATTTCTGTAAGTTGTGGAAAATCCCGACGTTCTGTTCATGAAACGGACATAGACCTCAAAGTTTTTTTTTTTTTTTTTGTTGGAAGATGACAATGTGGTGGTCAAGTCCATTACAATTTGGTTTCAAACAAATCATTAATCACTCGGAAGTTCGGTTTCAGGTAAAAAGGATGGTAATTAATAACAGAGAAATGCTTTGTGATTTGACTTGGCACTGGATGACATGTGATAGACTTATGAGGACTTTATGACGGACTGCTTCCCAGTAAGATTGCTTCTTTTCTTTCCTGTCCATCAGCACGAGCCTCCCCTGACAGTCCTCTGCGAGGCAGTCCTGTCCATCCTCCCCGTGTGGCGTAAGAGCGACAAGTGCCAGTCCTTCCCCGTCCTGACCTGGCAGCAGTTTCAGGAGATGGTGCACACCAACATCAACCCACTGGCCAGCGAGCTGCATCTCAAGGATGTCATCAGACAGTTGCATTACATGGGAGAGGTGAGGAGACTACACAAAATCAGTCCATCTAAGAACTTTTGACAGGTTGTACATTGTCTATTGATTAAAACAGGGTCATTTTGTGATATGGAGGGAATAGGGTTCGACCTTGGGACCTTGGGCTGTTAGACCTCTGTGATCTCAAGAATGTGATCAGACATTTGTATTACATGGAGGAGAGCAGGCTAAAAAGCATCTCTCTTAGAACATGTGATTCAGCAGTAATGTTTATTGGTGAGCTTTGATCCTCCAAAGGGGGCCGAAACCTGTCAAACATTGTTGAGTATAGTGCCTGATCAAAAACTATACTCGAGAATTGTGTGTACTTGACGCAGTATCTCATGTTCACACTTGACGCAAATGTGGGGTGCTGTGGTCCAATGGTAACGGTGTTCGACTCGTGTGCCGTGGTACATGGGTTCGAATCCTGATTGTGGGAACATGGTGCTTGTGCTCTTGAGCAAGGCACTTTGAGCAAGGCACTTTAATACCATTATTGCTTCGTCCTTCGGATGGGACGTAAAGCCGTAGGTCCCGTGTGTTGTGTAATGCACGTTAAAGAACCCAGGAACACTTATCGCTAAAAGAAAGGGTTTATTCAGGTGTTTCTGGCAGTGGCTGCAATATGCGCTACAGCACCTTGTAAACACTTATAATGTGCTACATAATGGGTCTCATATTTCCCATAAACTTCATGTACCTGTCTTTAATAATAGACATAATTTCCAGCGCCTTGAGTACCTAATTGTTGGTAGATATGTGCGCTATATAAGACTAAGGTATTAATTTTATGCACAAGCCTATTTGATTGAATCCCACACAATATTGGTTGAGCCAGTCAGGATAGAGAAAAAATTAGAGGATATTGGTAATTTGAAATCTGTTTACTTTCTGTTTACACAGGTCCAGTGCTTCATGAGTGACCTCCTTCAAGAGATCATCTTAATCGAGCCACGCTGGCTCTGCTCCAACGTGATCGGTCAGCTCCTGTCACCGGACACCTCTGACCAGCCTTACGGTCAGTACAGCGTGCACTACATCCAGTCAGTCTTCCCAGAAACGGACTCGATGGACATTGTCCAGTTGCTGGAGGCCATGGACATCTGCACCCAGGGCACGGTCTGTGAGTTCCCCTCGCTCATCAAGAGCATTGCGCCGCTCGGGATCTGGGAAAAGGAAGATGAGAATGGAAACTTGAATGTCTACGGAGGAGTCCGGTTACAAATAGCCGACTGTACCAGCGTCTTGCCCATTGGACTGTTTGCCCGCCTGCAGTTGTCACTCAGGAGGAACTTTCAGCAGGATGTGGAGGACTTGGACACAGACTTGGTGTTGTGGAAGGACGGAGCAAAGTGTGTGAGTGGCAGCATGGAAGCCATACTGGTACTGACCAATGAGGGACAGAGCATTGAGATCAGGGTCCGGGGTATCAACGATACCAGACAAGGTTGTTTTGTGTTCATGGAGGATCTCATCCATCTCGTTCGGAACGTTGTGGAGGAGTCTTATCCGGGGTTGCTTCTCAACCAGGACGTGTTGAGCCCCACCCAGCTCCGCAACCATGACCGGTTTGTCATGACCTACGAACCAAAACACATCTTCCAGGTGCAGATCAGAAAGGAGCGGTCAGTCCGTAACGAGATCACCGAAGAGGATGAGACCTTCACCGACCTCTTCTGCTTTGGCAGCGAATCCATCGAAGCCAACACCATCCCAGGCATCAATCTGCATATTGCTGACCTCCCCGAGCTGACCCGGAGACAACTGAGCATGCTTCTTGATCCGCCGGACCCCATGGGCAAAGACTGGTGCCTGATGGCGCTCTCGCTAGGCATGATGGACCGGGTACCCATCTTGGACCCTCTGAATAACCGATGCGGCCCCGAGGAATCAGACAGCCCCACGGAGAGAACACTCCAGGAGTGGGGCAGTGACCCTGGGAGCACCATCGGTACTTTGGTGCTCAAGCTGAGGGACCTCGGTCGTGACGATGCGGCCAGGGTCATCCTGAACAGCATGCCCATGTACAAGTTCCTGCCGGACCCACGAGCCATGGAAGAGAGCCAGATGAGAATCAACGGCACACCCAACAACTCGTCCAGCACGGTAGCATCAAGATGAATTCAGAGACAGATCCACAACATCTCTAAAGGTTCTGCCAACACAACACATGTCAAATCGTTGTGATTATGAGTAGTTCATTAACTCCAACAGCATTAGACCCTGCTGTAGCAAATGACCTTTGGACAGTACCTGGGGAGTCAAGGTCAAGGAGCTGGTCGGTATTGACATTCTCTAATCTGATCACTCTGATTGACTTGAGGTGAATGTCAAGGAAAGTGCATCCACTGAACAGATTAACAGTATATGTTGTTAAGAATTTTGTGATTTCTTTGAGAGTTGTTAAAATGGTTAACACCACGACAACTTAGTTGTTTTATTCACTGCTACCAGGTGAAGAGACCCTCACGTCACCTCCATGGTCCAACTGTTTGCCCAGTTGGGCGCCATCGTTCTGCAGTTTAATTACATTTAGTTCAACTGGGTCAGCTTCAACAGATCTTGACGGTTATTCTCACTGGTGCTTTTGTCCTCGTAGCCACAAGCACTGAGAGCTTCCAGGTGGATCGGTTTTGTATCAATTAGGACAAGTGGAATCTCTGCAGTATGGCCACTGGATAACAATGGAGGGTCACAAAGGTTGTGATGAATATGTATAAGCATTTTTTTGTCATTGAACTTTAAAGCGAGTTGACAGCTTCATTTTCACCCATCTGACTGAATCTTGATTTGGCTCTGTGTATGTACCCATCAGGGGTTAAATATGCAAAATACGACTGCCAAAGAAGGTAACACGCCATAGGACATGATTCTTTAAAGGCACGTAGAGACATTTGCAGTTACCCGGAATACGTTTTCTCAATTGTGCACGGAGCCCATACTAAGATCCCCGCCCCCAACACACATACTCTTGACATTTGTTAGTTATGGGGTACCACTATTGTCCACTGTTGCTTCCCTACTATTGTTTGCCTTTGTGTCTATTGAAATCTAAACACACAGTGAAATCTCGATAAGTCAAAACCTGTTCACTCAAAAACCCTTCTTACTCAAAGTAAAAACTTATTCCCGTCAAAAAGCCAGTTCGGTATTTCAACTGCGCATGTGCACAGTGATATGGGTCACATGTCATTTGGGATAATGGGACGTTTCGAAGGCGCATGAACGCGGGCGCACGACGCTTGCGAGTAAATTACCAGCAGAATGGGTGTGACATCGTGTGACATCATGTCAGCGATGTTATCCCGAATGACCTCGGGTCATTGAAATACCAAACTGGCTTATTGTTGTTGAATAGAAAATCCATTGGTTAACTCGAAACTCTGCTTAACTCAAAATTTGAGCCAATTCATCTGAGGTTTGACTTATCAGGATTCCACTGTACAGAGCATTCACTTTTGGGTTACCGAGATTTCTAGAAAACAAGTTATATGGTACCATTGTCCCTATTGTTAGCCTTTGTTCCTGGTACCCCATATGACAGTAATTATGTTAGCATACCCCCCCCCCCACCCACCCCCCAAGAATACCTTTGAGCACTTACTACCGTTAAGAACAATACCAAACAAAAGTAATCAATTATTAGTCATTACATTGGTGGCCGATTTCACCGGAAACCTAGGCAGAAAATACTGTTGCACCAATCACTTTTCTTAATATGTCTAGTGTGTCAAAATGACAGTGTCTAATTTTGTTCAAAGTTCAGTTTTATAAAATTTGTCCCAGGTTTTTATGTTTTACTTAGATTTGTCAAGGTGCTTCACAACTATCTTTTTACTGACCACGGTATACGCAAGTCAACGCAAAAGGTTTTGTAATTTTTATGCATTTGTTTCTCTTTTGTATCTTTTACCTCACAGATTCAGTTTTCATCATTTTACTCTTTCGAGGTGTTACCCTTCAGACGATAAAATACAAAAACTTGTTTTCGCATGTTAACATTTTTTGTTGGTTGTTTGCAATGATTTGAAGTGAATGCAAGTGCAAAACTGCCAAAAAAAATAGCATTCTTGATTACAAGAATCGAATGTACTCAGCAGTTTCTTAAATATATGTTGAAGAGGTAGAGATCCATTTTCTTTTTTACAATGAGTTCATTTTTTTATTCAGAAGTCTTCCACTTTGATAAGTCAATTTCCAAAAACAAACAATGCATGCACACTGTACGCAAATGGAGCTACGGTGACTATAAGTAAAGTGTTTGAAGGTTGCATGCCTTTTCTGTAGTGTTTTAAGTCCTGTACATGTATAGAATTTATCAACTTAAACAATTATTTAAAAACAAGTTTGAACTTGATTGAGCTGTACAGTTAATAGGAGAAGTTGAACAAGATGGAGGAATTGTAAAAACAAAAATTGACTTTTTGGTTGCCAGCCAGGGAGTGGCTGGCGTGAAAATGGTCAGATTTGTAAATTATTTTATTTTTTTATGATGCATGTTTTTGGAACCATAGCTGTGACAGCGATCACCAATTCAACTTAGTTCCGCTTGATAATTTAAAAAGTTAAAAAATTGCTAATCAAAACAAAAAGTTATTTATGGGAACTGTTGAATTTTACCCATGTCTGAGGCTGTTTCATTCTGAAATGTTTGCGGAAATCAAGACGATAACAAAAAGCGTTATTGTTTTCGGTTGTTTTTCTGTGTTATTTTTCCCAAATGTTGTTTAGTGTCTGAGCAGCAATTTCAATTAGCATGCAACTCACTCAGGAAACATTGAGGATACATTACTTAAAATCTTTTTATCATTTTGATGCCTGCAGGACTGAAATATGAAGAAAAAAAATGTGCAAGACAGAATTTTGTTCAAAAATTGGAGGAATTTGTGATTTATTTACTTTTAGAAGTGTGTGTCATGAGATTTTGTGGACATTATTGTTGTCTTTTTAAGTTTCACAGCAGTCATTTACATCAAGAAATCAGCGTCAAATTACTCATGTTCTGAAGAGAGGATCACATGATCATGTGTTCATAATTTATTCCTGTTTCGATGTTCAAACAACCTCCATTTTTTTTTAGTTTAAACTTTATACTTAGTGCAATCTGGTGATGAGAGTATTTAAGTTATAGTTCTGTTTGTATATTTAGAACGTTGCAGTGTTGCGACTTTATATTTGTATGAAGTCATTCCAGCGTAATGTTTGTTCAAGTTTCTTTCATCTGGCCTGCCTTCTTCTTCGTAAAACTTCTTACCGAACCAAAAATCCTCAAAAACTTGACTGTTAAAATCCAAACATCGCTCCCTTGGCTGAGAGATAGTGCTGGACTAAGGCAGATTCGGGTTACAAAATAGCAGCATGTCAAGGATAATACATTAGTATACTGTAGATATCGGAGTCTAGTTTGTTATTGTCCCATACACATCATCCTGCAATCAAGATGTCTGTGGCACTGAGATATTTGTTATTTTACTGTCAGTTTTATTCAGTTATAGAGTGGAAGTTTGTAGGTCTGAACATATTCATACCTTGTTTTCTCATGCATTGAAATGCTCAGGGAAATAACACGTGTTATTGTCCTCTTGTATCATTTTAAAAAATGGAGTCATATCTTGATTTAGTATATAGCATGTTTAGCTAATACTGATGGGTTGCATTAAAGGTAACTCTAATAGCAAGACACAGTTATAGCACGTTTTCTCCATTTTCATGCTTAAAGAAGTAATTTTGACTTTGTGTTTGAAACTACCTTGTTGCATAAGTTTTTGATCGAACAAATTTGAAACTATGGAAATATATTAATACTTGCTTGTTTCTGAGATACATGTACATGTACAAATCTTGTCATCAGACGTACACATATCGGAATCATTCTAGACACTGTATTATCAGTCTGAATGTGTACTGTGTACAGATTCAACATAGAATATAGAAGAATATCCATAGAATAACAACATTATAGAAGAATATTCTTCAAACATAGTAGCACTGTCTTACAGGTACAATATACTTCACCTTGGATATTTTCACCTTTGCCTGTCGTGCATGAATCGTTAGATACCGGCTGGAATTGGTCGACTTGTAAAATACACGAACTACTTTGGGGGAGTGCTGGCCTAGTGGTTAGGGTTTGGGACTTGTGATCAGAGGGTCAGGGGTTCGAATCCAGCTGCTGGCCATAATGTTGTATCCTTGGGGGCAAGCCACTTTCACCCCCACTTGCCTCTCGCCACCCATTAATGAGTACCGGCATTAGCTGGGCATAAACGCTGGTCTGATGGGCCGAAATTGGCTGACACAGACTTAACTTACTTTGATGACTATTCTCAACCCAAAAACCTCAAAACAAGTGCCTTGATTTTTGCAGCTTTTTTTGGTCATTTTTTTAAGGGGTGTTTTGCCAAAAGAAATTGTTTTAGTGTGAAAGATGTTTTACTTTCAGCTACCTTGTAGTTGTTGAAGTAGGTCTGTGTGTGTTAGGCCAACTGGTCTCGTATATTGATAACTCGAACACAAAATTAGCATCAATGAAAAATGAAATTGAAAACAACAACCTTTTTCTTTTTTAGACAATATTTTTTTTACTTTTTCCATTGGTTGGCATGTTTACCCTATCTTTAAACACATTGCGATTCCTTGGTCAAAAGAGAAATTAAAAGCTAAACGTGATAACAATTCAATAGAATGTGGACATGGGTCCGCTGAAACTGTCATATTAAAAAAAAATTGTGGAAAATTCGTCTCCGTATTAAATGTGCACAGCTTATATTTGTCAGTGAATGCAAAATGTTTTTCTGGAAACCTATGCATGCATGTATGCATGGGCAACTTTTTTTCAGCCATTCTTAAACTTGTTCAGTTTTGAATATTACAAGGAATGGTATGCAGTGATATACATAGAAGCATGCCCCGTACTTAATTCTTAATATTGTTCTTCCAGAGAGAAAGCTACAAGTTTGTGTTGTACAAATTGAACAAAGGAACAAATTGTATGTGATGAGGGTATTCTAACTTATTAAGCACTGATTCTATTCAAGGAAATAAACAACCCTGTTTTGGGAACACTCAATGATAAAAAGCTGTCCAGCAATCGTCTCTACTTAGTGGTTTTTTTTGTTTTAAAACTCATGAAGTTGGAGTTTGCCTATTTATTGTTATTTCAAGACATGCAATACCCAATTAGAACAATCAAGAGAACACGTAAACACTGTAAAGTCATTCATCATGAAACATCTTGGAGAAACAGAAAACAAAACAGGAAAAGACGAATTTTCCCAAGGGAGCTCAATTTAGAGTCAGACAAACAAAAATACCTCTTAAATTCTTAACTAGTCGAAGTTGTGGATTATTTTGAACTTGCTTGAATTTCACTCCGTGTAATATGCCGGAGAAGAACATTGTGTGTCACGTTGGGGGAACCGCCGCGATAATAATACATGTAGTGGTGCGGTGAAACCCCAAAATTAAAAGTGCAAGGAACCGTTTGCGCGAAGCCAGTGCCAGGTGAAGGTTGCACGACCCAAAATGATTATTAATATACCTCAGTGAAACAGAGGGTGACGCTGAGTGGCGCTGTTTGAGCAGCAGTCATAATGGAGATTTCAACAGTCAAAGACAAGTTTCGTTTTGATTTGAAGTGCGATACAATTCCACGGTGAGATTGCTCCAAATGTCTCTTTAGAGGCAAGAGTCAACATCAAGACGCCCTTCGTTGTTGGTAGTGAAGCAGGATCCGAGAGGTTTTTGCTTACAAACCGCCTCTAACTCAATCCCACACCGTACGTCATTCCACTTATTCATAGCTACTTTCCGTAACATAGCACAGTGCTCCACACCTCCGTGGTTATTCGGCTCCACCGGCTTCCTCCAGTTGGTGTAGATTTCTTGACCGTCTTGAGATCCTTCGCACTCCCACTCACCCTCCTGCCTGCGATCGGTGCAAGCCACCCAAATATCACTGCCTTGGGCCAGGCTTGCCAGGAAGTCGTTTTCCTGGTCAGAGTGCGGCGCTGCCATCTAGGCTCCCAGTCTACGGCAGGCTTCACGGGCGTCGTCGTACGTCAGAGACTTTTGGGTGATGAGGTAGCAAGATCCACCCCATTTCTTCCAGGGAGCAGTGCAAAGCCCATGGCGTCGATTGCAGGATGGAGACAAGCTCAAGCTACCACTAAGAAGGAGTGTCAGTGATACCAAGATGCCAACTTTCCACCAGACATTGTGACAAACCGACCACCAATGCAGCTTTCTCCTTGCTGCGCTAAATCCAATGCGCAAGTTGTAACACTTTAAGTGGATTTTAATATCATCACTTTATCCAGTAAATATACCTGGTCTACAATCTGTTACATATTTCAGTGAGAGGCACGCGTTACCAAGACAACACAGCACAACAAAACCATCATGGTTGCCTAAGTGGAAAATTAGTAAAAGGCCGCACTGCATTAATTATAAAGGGCAAGTTTGTCAACGTGTTGTGACACGAGGTAATACAACTTTAAATGGCTTTTAATTACTTAACATACCAGAGACGCAGTCATGGGCGTCGCCAGGATTTTTTCTAGAGGGGGGCAAACATTTTTTTTGCAAAAAAATGCTTGTATTTCTCAACACATTCTTGATTTATCAGTTTTAGAGGGGGGCAGGGACATTTTGCCCCCCCCCCCCCCCCCAACTCATTAAATTTACACCACTTTGTCTTCGCGCCTCTTTTTCTTTTCTTTTCTTTTTCTTTTTTTTTCTTCCTTTTTTTTTTTTTTTTTTTTTTGGTTTTCCAGGGGGGGGGGGGCAAGTGCCCCCCCTTGCCCCCCCCCTCGCGACGCCCATGGACGCAGTGTATTCAATATTTCAGTGACAGACACACGTAACCATGACAACACAGCACAACAAAACCATCATCGTTGCCTAAGTGGAAAATTAGTGAAAATCGTGCTGCATTAATTACAATGCTAGTCTACGTGCTGGGACCGGAGGCAATAAGTTTGACTAAAACATGCGAATTATTTGCAAATTATTACTGTATTCTAAGCTCCAGTTTACAATCCTTGACAATAATTGCCTAAAGGGCCTGAAATTTGCGTTCCTCGCGCCATTTTCGAGTTTAATCCCGATAATAGATTCCTTTTCTAAACTGCTATTTTTCTATCAATATAAAAGTTATTCACTTTTGAATGAGACATTGACCGAAAAAAATCGCCCCATGTTTAATTATTGAGGTAGTACTTTACAATTGAAATTATTGGCTGCCAGACAATAATTCAATTCTCGCGGGGTAGGCCGCATGGTTCCCGCCCCACAATCAGTATCGATAATGTGCGGACCGAGCGCCAGTCAACTCGTGAAGCGGCGCTATGTTTGTTGGGGGGGGGGGGGGGGGGGGAGAGCTGGGCTGGTGCCATCTGTCGGTGGGGGCGCTGTTCAGAACCGACCATTATTGACATTAACGGACAATATATGGAGCTGTTCAGGGCGATACGTGCGTCAAATTAAAAACCGAAAAAAGGCTCCCGAACGGCCGCTGGCACAAAAAGGGCACCAATTCTTTTTAAAAAGGGCACTTGTTGTTCAGAACAAAAGTACACTTCTTAATAAAAAAAAATATTGGCGGGGGGGGGGGGGGGGGGTAAGCGCTGGTGAAAAAAAGGGATTTTCAACGGGAAAGGACAGTCTTTAGAAAATATTGGGGGGGGGATACCCCCTTACACCCCCCCCCCCCTACTACCTGCACTGTCGCTCTTGGTATTATTCGCATTAATCAAACATCTTGCACATGTAAATAAAATGGAATAGTCTGGTACCTACCTATGCTTTAATCAGTGTCTGTTTTCGTACGCGGTGTTCGGTGTACATACCGTGAGAATCATTTCGCTGCGGCGTGAGATACAAAAATGCACGATTTTTTTTCAAGTGGCAATGTTAAAATGTATATCCATCCAATATGCAGTATTACATTACATATTATCAGTAAAATGGAAGAGTCTTTTTAGGAGGAGTGGACGCAGTGGCGTAACTAGGGTTAAACCTCTTGGGGCACCTGGGGTGCATACATTTTTGAAGGGTGGGGGCACTGAGTGCAAATGATATATATTTTGTTGAACTCGAGATTTTAAAAGTGTGGGGTGAGCATGGGGAGGGGGGGCACGGATATGTACCACCCTTACTACAAAGCAAGAGGCTCGACTTGATGGCTGCTACACTCGAATGCTGAGGATGGCTCTAGACGCGAGTTGGAGAGACAAAGTCAGGAACGAGGTGTTCTATGGCAACCTGCCAAGGATCTCTGCAACTATCAGACTTAGGCGTCTGCGATTGGCTGGTCACTGCGTTCGGCATCCAGAGATAGCTGCAAGCCAACTCATCTTATGGGAACCCACTCATGGAGTAGCCTCTGGAGGTGGGCAGACGCTAACCTACGTGGACCAGCCGCGTCGTGATACTGGGCTAGCCTCCGCAGCCGAGATCAGGACGGCCATGGGAGACCGTGATGTGTGGCGTGCTTTGTTGCAGTCTGACGAGAGTCGACTTGATGATGATGATGATGATGATGATGTACCACCCGTAGTTACGCCACTGAGTGGACGTAATCATTCACTGTGAAGATTAAAACCCGTAAAACACGTGCGAGATGAAATCACCAACTACACCATCATAATTATGAATCCCTTCGGTATCGAATCAGAATATGCAGCAGGTTTACCACCGAGGGGCTGTTATCGGAAACGAGGTTGAAAAGAAAGTAGTGTCTGTGTGGACGAGCTTGATCGAGAATCGATCTTTCTGAATGACATCACCGGGCGAAATACCATTCAGAAGTAATCAGTCTAAATCAGATCAGGTGTATTACTGATATTTGAAGTCCATTTTTGGCAACACAAGTCATTGTTAGATCGTGTCTTTGTTACTGTAATTTCATTGTTAATTAGGAGCAATTTGGCAGATTTGAAATTGCTCTTAGAAAGGAACAATAGACTTACGACAATGAATAGAAGATCGAACAGCTGAGAATTTTTTATTAGACATAATCTCCACTAGATTATATTGGATTTTTAAAATGTGAATAAATAATCAAATAAACCACAAAGGTATGTCTTGACCTTCAAATTTTATTTTTAAATTGTAGACTCATATATTATCATTAATTTGCCTTTATTTTTGTTATACAATTTATAAGCAAACTATTTTCAAGATCTAATTCTAAAGTAAACTTTAACGAGCTTCGAAACAAAAAAAAAGCACTGAATAAATCATCACATACCCTTCGGTGTCAGTATGTTTCTGCTTATTCTTCGTTGTAGACAGTTTGAGTCCATAACATGGCAAGAACGCGCAGACCGAAACGTTGGTCCCTCATATAAGTTCCTCTACTTTCATTGATGCCTGAACAGACGTAATCGTTTTGTCATTAAAATAAAACCCTTAAAATCAGGGATAACCATTTGATGTTTGGTGCGGATGTTGAAATAAAATTGTAAGTTCAAGATACAATGCGTAAGAGGGATGGAGAGGTTTGCATGATATGAGCACTTCACAGTCATTGAGGCTTGTAAATGTCACATCATCTTCCGGTTTCTACCACTTTTGCATGTTGAGCCAAATTAAAGACTAACGCTTCTGTGGTTATTCTCCTGACGACGAGCAGATCCAACTAAGAATAATGTCGCTGACCTTATCCTCTCAACCATAGACGACTCACAGCAAAGGTACGGTACCACTGCATTCAACCTAGGGGTGCAGACCAGTAAATCGGTCCGAAATTGCCTGCGCCGGCCAAATCACGATTTGCATGCCCTCAAAATCTTCAGTATTTGAGCATGCTGTGGGCCATGAACTTGAGGGATTGTAAAAAATATGGGTGGAAGCCGTGCACAGGACTGGGAGCTTGCAGTTCTGTGTAATTTTGATGTAATTTGGACCCTAAAAGCGCTCTATTTTGCAATGGAGTGTAGGCATCGTTTTTCAAAATGGCGATGGGCTTCAGGACTATTTTCGGGGGTGATCATCTTCAGATTGAAATTTTTCCTAAAAGTCATCAGTTGACCCCCGAAAATTGAAAAGAAAATAAAAGATGATGAAATAAGCTTTAATTTGATGTGTGTCTCGAACACCTTGGAGAGTTGGGAGTATTTTTCCCGAATTTTTGAAGTGGGAGCATTTACCATTGGGGTCTATGGAAGTTTATTTACTGGTCTGCTACCCTAGCTGACAAACTGCAATGCATGCTGGGAATTCAATATGTCCCCATGAGCATGAAACGCCGCTTTTAATGTCCAACTTTAAAAAGTACTTTTTGGACAGTCCTTGCATGCGAAACATTCATACAATTACCATTCGTACTTCAATTGTGCCGATTTTACATGAATTTGTTTTTAAATTGTGGGTCAAAATTAGGTATAAAGCCACCTAGTGGTTACCTGAATGCTAAATGTTGTTTGTTTCGAATATTAAACCCAAAATGTTTGTACATGTACTAATTTCAAAGCATGTTAAAGAAAAATGTATAAATGATGCATTTTCAGCATTTTGTCTTGTTTATTCCAAGCATCTGTCAACACAATACTTTGAACAGGTCAGGGTAGCAATATTTGCTGTACAATACTAACCCCAAAATCCATCCATTTCAAAAAATTACAGCAAAAGTTAATGTTGTTATATTATATATTATATTATTTTTAAGACAGATTCTTCACATAAGCGACTTTATATTACTATTTCTCTCCAATTTTGGACAAAAGACTACAATATTTACAATGTACCAACATTGGGGAGGCGGGACGCTTTTCAAACTGCGGGGGGGGGGGGGCAACACCAAAAAGGGGCACTTGAACAGAAAAAAGGAGCACCCTCCGTCGGTGTGAAAGTGAAATAAAAGAATATGGTCCCTTTCATTTCGCTATAAACCTACCGGTATGACGAGGAACAAATGATGAATACGTTGTCCATCTTGCCCATTGTGTTTCTTTTACCTATATTTGATGTAGAGAGACCTCTCCTTTTTTTTTCTCGAGAGAGAGGGGCGCTGTTGCTTTTAATTGCCAGTTCAGTGACCATTTTATTGAGTAAAGAGCACTTTTATTTTAAGGATCAATTTCCCATCTTGACACGGGCACAATTTTAATGTTGCGAGCGGGGCAATAATTGTGGTTTGGAGGGGCAGTTTTCCATCTCGAGAAGTTATCGCGAGAGGAGCACTATTGTTTTTGATGGCCAATTTTCCATCTCGAGAGGGGCACAGATTTATTATTGCGAGAGGGGTATTTGTGCTTTCGAGGGATAGTTTTCCATCTCGAAAAGGTGCACAATCGTGTTAATGCGAGAGGGGCACTTGTGTTTTTGAGGGGCAGTTTTGCATAACAAGAGAGGAGACATGTGATATGTAGCGCGATCATTATACTTTCATACCTGTGCGTTTGAGGGGCAGTTTTGTTTTCATCTTGAGAGGGCACATTTTATAACCGCGAAAGGGGTACTGTTTAGGCCTGGGAATATCGGGGGAGTGGATAAGTGCCCCCGCCCCCCCCCCCCTCCCATTCTGCCGCCCCTGAACATTGCCTGTTGCATGTTGTATTCACGATCAACATCTAGAGTATACACGCATGCTCGTTTATACTACAATATGTAATTGATTATTGACCTGATTAATGATATCGCTCCCTTTAACGTTTGGTCCTTAGAGATCATTAGTATTCGGGCTTAACTTCACGAATTATGACCAAGGCTAGAATTTAGAAGTCTAAGTATTAACTTTTATAACTTTATTATGAGCCTGATTATGGTTACACATACTCCTTATGTGAAAGGATTCAAATGAGAAATATTACATAATACAACCAACTAATCTGAATCTTACCTAGGATGACTAGGATGAGCACTACTCAAGAAAAGAAAACAATCACACCAAAAACATCTGTAAAATCAATCCTTCTGGTAGGACGTCATTTAGATTCAGCCAAGAATGTTATCTAAAGAATGTTATGTCAGGTGTCACATGAATGTTGCTGGGTCTACTTTCCTGCATTGCAGTACCTATGATCAGTGCAAATGTTCGATCTTGAGCAGCAGTCCTAGTGAAGATGTCCACAGTCAAAACACGAGAAGTCTCAGTTTTACATGATCTGAAGTTCCCTACATGATAAAAACTACACATACAATCAATTAAATGATCTGAAGTAATTAAAATCCGCGTGCAAATCGTTCCAAACGTTACTTTAGAGGCAAGAGTCAACTTCAAGCCGCCCTTCGTTGTTGGTAGTGAAGCAGGATCCGACAAATTGTCGCTTGCAAACAGCCAGGAACATACGCTCACACGCTATGTCATTCCACTTCTTATCCACTCGCCTTATTTTAATACAGTCCTCGCTCCCTTCTGATCCTGCATTATTCGGCTCTCCCATCTTCCAGTTGGTGTAGATTCCTTGACCGTCTTGAGACCCCTCACACTCCCACTCACCCTCCTGCCTGCGATCGGTGCAAGCCACCCAAATATCACTGCCTTGGGCCAGGCTTGCCAGGAAGTCGTTTTCCTGGTCTGAGCGCGGCGCTGCCATCTTGGCTCCCAGTCTACGGCAGGCTCCACGGGCGTCGTCGTACGTCAGAGGCTTTTGAGTGCTGAGGTAGCAAGATCCACCCCATTTCTTCCAGGGAGCAGTGCAAAGCCCATGGCGTCGACTGCATGGTGTAGACGAGCTTAAGCTATCGCTTAGAACGATTGTCAGTGATACTAAGTTGCCAACTTTCCACCAAAACATTGTGTCAGATTATGGCCATTGCAGCATTCTCCGTGCTGCAGCAAATTCAATTGCAAGGTGTAATTTTCTAAAAAAGACGTTTGAAGGTCATCAAATTCATCGGGTCAATTCCTTAGGACGACAATCATTTCAATAATAGATAATAATAGCCAGCGCTGACTGTAACCATGACAACACAGCACACCACAACCATCAAAACTGGGGAAAGGTCGTAATGATTAAAATACAAGTCTACAATAAAGATTAGACTGAAAAACAAACGCGAATTTGCGCCAATTTAGCATCAATTTACAATACTCCACAATCAAGATCGAGTCGAGTCGAGTCGGGTCACTGCCAGTGTGTGTGGTGCAGCCAAATTGGCTAAACAAGTAAAAGGATTATCTTGATGCGCACACGATCGCGACGTCGTCGTAGAGAAGTTGAAATCTTTCTACTCTTGCGACTGTTGATTTTTTTTGAGCGCCGACTAATTCCGATCGTCTTAATATCGTCTCAGTTGTACTCAGGCCTTTAAAAATCAGCGAGAAATGTTCCCGACGGTCGTAGCGCAGGCACAGCTTGATCCTGAAAAGTCAATCGCCGACTGATCTGTGTCGTCGAAAGGTCGACCTGAGGCCGGCTATACGCGCATACGCGAACAACGTTAGCGACTCTTCTGATACGACGCGCACGAGAGCAATGATGCATGTAACCTTGATAGATAGGGGCCGTACCACAAGTCCGACGCCTCATAGGTCCGACGCCTCCTAGGTCCGACGCCTCACAAGTCCGAAATTTTGGACTTATGAGGCGTCGGACTTAAGAGGCATAAATCCGCCGCGTATATTATGTCCAACGCCTCATAAGTTCGACGATGGATAAACGCTGTTTCGGGCTTATGAGGTGTCGGTGCTATGAGGCATCGGACGTATGAGGCGTCGGACCTATAAGGCGGAAAAAAATAAACGTTGTGCCTCATAAGTACAAGTCCGACGCCTCATAATTTCGGACTTATGAAGCGTTGGACCTATGAGGCGTCAGACTTAATGAGGGGACCCCGATGGGGGGCTTAGGCTAGGATTGCAAATCCGCTGCGCTAACTAATCTAGAAAAAAACCGCCTGTGTTGTACACATTGTTGCGGGATCTCAGGAGTAGTGATACTCACTCATGTCGACAACATCATTATAAAAACCTCACTTGGCATGTTCTGTACTCAACACTTGTGCTCCATCGTCCATCCCCAACTATGCAGTTGCAGTATTGCGCTCAAACCCTTGACAGTGTGGTTTACATGTTCACTGAGATTTTATTTTTTGGAATTGGGGGCCGGACCAAACAAGTAAGTAGGAATTTAACTAGGAATTACAACAAACAAAAAACTAGTAAAAGTAGGAATACTTACGAGTCTGTTCACTGCTCATTTGAAATGCATAATGACTGTTAGAAATTAGTATGTATCCTTGTACATGACATATGCAAACTCATTAATATTACGTCAGTCAGCTGCTCAAATCAGATATAATTTTGATCTTTGTGAATGATAATGAAATGGGAAAATTTAACAAATTGTACTAAATAATGTCCTACTTGCATTAATATTACTTTTTTTCTGTTGAATTCACATCATTTTATGGAGGGTAAACTTTTGAAACATTCCAAATGTGTATGAACATTTCCACAATTAATATCCTCATGAAATGCTTGCAGTTTTATACATTGCCTGAATGAATCCCAGTCATCTGATTGGTTGGTCGTTGACCATACGTCATGGAATTACTTGTTTCAACCCACGGCTAAGCGAAAAAAAGAAGTTCTGTTTAAGGGTAAATATAGATGGCTCTGACCAATCAGACAACGAGGATCTATTCAGGTGTTGCATAAAACAAATAATGAATGTTTCACATTCATGCAATGGAATAGTTCATTCGGTGACATTTGGATTGTTTCATTTCGCTTCGTAGAATGGAACATTCCACGTGGCACCACATGAAATTATTCTTACCACTGCACTCATAAACATTTCTCATTGGTATACTAACCATTGCAATTTGGTTTAGAACAAATATTCCTGTTCGAAGTGAAAATATCTAGTTATCTTAGGTTCTGAAGAATCCTCAACTAAAGGAATATAACATCAAATTGAAACTTGGAATTGAAACTTCAAACTTGTAAGAAAACGTAAGGTAAGAGTTAATTACAATCGATGGATCGCCATTTATACTATGCTGTTTTCAAATCATCGGGTACCTTATAATATGATGCTAAAGGCAAGGCACAGTAAAGTTGTTGAAGATTTCCATACGACCCTATATCGTTATCTTTCATTATAAATAATATTGGATGATCAATTTCACCATGCCCTTTTGCTCTGTTGCTCGGAAGTTTATTTATGCAGTTACCAAGTTATTCAGATGTTATTCAGGAACAAAGAGAGAGAGAGAGAGAAGTCATTACTAATATAATCAAGCGGGTCTGAATTGATTCCAGGGATCTTCTGAGCTAATCCAAGGCCTACATTTCTATGGAGAAACAATTAAACTCATCAGCAATTATTTAGAGGTCAATACGTTGTTATCTTAAATGAGGGCGGGAGTGCTTTGGTGGGTTTTTGTTTTGTTTAAAAGTATGGGTCTGTTCATGGCTTGCAGAGAACAACCATGAAACTGACAATATAGGCTACACGGACAATATGATACACAAACGGACATGGCCAACTTGACAAACAACGAGACGGGAGACTATAAGACCGATAGTATTTTGTATTTAACTTACAAACTAACCTAAATTTACTAACTAACATAACTTTATTTGACTTTGCCTAACTTATGTCTATTCTCATTGTATCTCCTGGAATAGTGTGTTTGATATTAATTTCTTAGGTTCTTGATACTGACTCAAAAACAACTAGAGATCAAGGCGTTTGTTGAGTTACAGACGCAGAGTGGTCGGGCCAACAACTATTTCAATAGACACAGCCCAGCTAAGTTATGAATAAATTTATGTCAGAACAAAATATCACGAAAATAGAACCTTTCCAGTACAATCATTGATTTTGTTTAAGCTCAGCATAAGCATCATCTGTCAAGAGGGATTTGTTTCTTCAATGTTTTTAACATGTCTTTCATGCTTTTGTTTCTCGTTTCAAGCCTTCGTACTTTTTGTTGCAGCGCTCTGATCTTCGTCTTGGTTGTTTTATCCGTGGAACTCGAGGAAGCGTACGAGTGGTCGTCATCTTTGGTCAGTCTCCGGCGCTTCAGCGGAAGTGCCCCAAGTTCGGACTCATCAACTTGTACGCCTGTAGATTTTGTATGGCCTTGTTTTGACTTGCTCGTTACCATGGGGATGGCGTGCTTGGATAACAATACTCTCTTTTTGGCACCCTCCTTCGTTGAATACTTAAAATATTCCTCACCAAAGTGTAGACTGCATATGAAACTGTATTTGTTGGGATTCCATCGTTCTCTCCCTGTTCCCAAAATCCACTTCCCAAGTCTTTTTTGATCATTCAGAGGAAAGCTGCAGTACAGATGAGAAAGAAAAACAGACGCCTGATAATATCTACGGAGTGAAAGCTGAAACGATCAGGGCCACGCCTCATATAAACTACAGGCCTACATGTAGACGCGTTGCCCAAAACTATCTCAGATCTGCATAATTCTGGCAATCACAAGTCATTTTTTGTATGGAATAAAGACAGTGAACTAGCTAAGTTGGATACAAGTGTGTCAACTCGATAGGATAACGACAAGTGGCGTTTCCAGATAAAGGGGGATTGCCATTTAAAAAAAAATAATTTACGAGCGCTGCCACTTCCTGGCTTCTTCGAATCTTTTGGGCCCATTCCTCTCCCAAATCATGGGTAGGCCTATACCACTGCATAAAATTGGAAACCAATATTGATCGCATGCATTAGAAATAGGAGAAAATGGATAATGCAAATTTTAAAGTAAGCAACGATAGCCTTCATGATCATAATACATGAGCTCAAAATGTGAAATACATTCATATTACTTCGGTATACATTATTTCTTTCGAACAGTGTCCCTCAATAATTAAACCCAAATTAATGACCCCTTCCCCCATTTTTAGCGAGCGCCATCGCCCCTCCCCCTTCAGGTATAGCGTCAACGCCCATGATATAAATGTTACCGATGAAAGGAAAGACATCCGTCAACCTTCTGCTGGGCGTTGCAGCCAAGCACGCTACAGCTGATTACCATTTCGTTTTTCTGTTAAAAAAAAGAAAGAGTTCAGAGATAGATCGATATACTACTATGAAGATCACATCATCACTGTGATGGAGAAATAATGACATCGATTGTTGTTTTTAAATAAGAGACTAATTGTCATTAACATCTAGAGCGGCATAAAGGAAACATAGATAGATAAAAAATAACACTTTCTTCCACTGTCTCTGGTTCCGTTGTAACTTGAAAGTCAGTAATTGTTTCGCCTTTCCCAACGCAGTGTTTTGCAGTGAATTGCCCGATGCTTTCTGAGAGTCTGTGGAGAAATATTCAGAGGCTAATTACTCGTATCATAATGGTATCATTGTTCACATGATTTTTCCATAAAGTTTTAATAGGGCAACTGTGTAAATAAGCAGCCTCATGACTTTGATGCTCATGAATACTGAGGTTTGGCAAGACTACTTGATGATATCCGGAGACAAGGTAAATCATGCGCGCAATTGTTGGGTATATTTGTAGCCATTTTGGATCGTTGCTATGTCCTCATAATTATTCAGTCACTTATAATGCTGAAGAAAATGTTATTTATGTAAAGGTGTGCTAGTCGAATCACTAAAATAAACTTTTCAAAAAAATAAAAAATAAAGAATACATACCAAAATATGGGAATCAATATATTACACGGCAGGGATTAACAATTTATGCAAATTAGGCATATTTGGATCAAAAAGGTTGAACGACGTCTTCATTGCATTACGACAACGGAGTCCAACCTGGGCTACAAATTAAATTTGAATCCAAAAAGCAGCCAGTGTTTCGTTATGGTTCAGAGAATTGAGCTAGCATGGATGCCAGCTTTTACCAAAAAATCCGTTCAAAGTTTTATTCCTCTTTGGCCGGTCCACTAAGAGTTATAGAGCAAACTGTACGGCGGAACGGTCGCACGGATCATGTTGTAAAACCTGTCAGAATGAAAGTAGGATACTCACCACGCACGGCGTCAGTCTTGAGAGAATTAAGATAGAACTGACGTATTAATGTCGATATCAAAGGAGAGAATCCAAAAAGCAGCCAGTGGAAAAATAGACACGAAGTACAGCTTGGAACAGCGGCTGTTTTGCGTATCGGTAAATCGGGCTAATGCAGCTACTAGATCCGATTAAAAAAAAATCGTCACGGCAAATCTGCAGCGCATACGCGCATACGCGTTTGCGTTTGCGTTGTTTACGCAAAGCAAAATGAAACGCTCATTTACTGATGTGCGCGTTTGTTTTGGCGCGTATCAGCTTCGATTACGCAGGTATAGAATACAAACGCGGACATGATATGCAAATAGACGTATAAAAACAAACGTTCAAAAGTTTCCCATAGGTTTGTGCAAAAACATGGATGCGCCGAGCAGGCATCATTTTGTCACTTTTGTCACTGTTGAACACTGATATTTGAACTCCTGATATTTGAACACCTGGGAAAGTTGCCCTCACATGACTCGGACAATGTTTCTCCTCATGCATGCGGCGACTCAATTCCCTAAGATCTGGAGAAGACCGACGGTAACAAGCCAACCGATGACGTCAAGAGTTACAGACCGATATCCCTGCTGTGCGTTCCATAATAAGATCTTGAAGTGCATGATCCACAGCCTTTCATCAAGCCTCAATTACCACCAGAGCAGGCAGGTTTCAGGCGCGGCAGGTGGCCATAATATTGGATACTTTACTGTTGTAAATTTTCTTTTATTTGTTGATTCGTTGTTGTGTCAGCATATGACAGCAAGGCGAAATGAGAACATTTTTCTAGCCAATGTTTTCAATGAGGAGATTTTTGGATTCACATTTGAAAGAAAACCCCAAAACTAAACAGTGTCTTCCTGTGATGACATCACAGCAACAGCGCCCTCAGTTGTCCGGAAAAGCATGGACAATTAAAAATATTGAAAGAAGTGCACTTCTGAATAAAATTAAGCCAAAAGGGATGTCAAATGATTTTCATACATTTAAATGGGTTAGAAAGTTACACAAATGTGTTCCCAAGAGAAACATTCATTTGATGGACACTTTAAAATGTGTAAAATCTATTTGACATTCCTTGTTTTATTTCATTGAAAAGTGCACTTCTTAAAACAGTGAAAATGTTCAATGCTTTTCCGGATAATTGAGGGCGCTGTTGCTGTGATGTCATAGACACGGTGTTAAGGGGTTTTCTGTTTAAATGTTTACCCGAAACATGTGTTCATTGAAAACATTTGTGAGAAAATTCTGTTCATTGGCTTATGCCATGTACTGACACAAAAACGAATCACCAAAGCGAAGAAAATTTACAACTGAACAGCAAAACATCCAAGTTTCTGGCCACTTAGTCTTGTGGTGCTGAAATAGTTGTAACATTGAGATTTCGGCCTCAAATGACACACATTTGCCTTGAATATGAAAGTTTGCATTAGCATAAAAAAAAACAAAAAAAGGCTGAGATATAGCTCTTCGTGAAACAACACGATATATAAACCATAGACGCGTTAATTTATGTAATTGCTTTGCCTCCTATATATTTTCCACTCGGGCAACGATGATGCTTGTTTTGTTTTGAGTTGCCGTGGTTATTACATTGGCCACTCACTGGAAGTAACGAACATGGTCCGATGACGTACAAAGATTACAAAAAATGCAATTCAAAGTATGACGCTTGTCCACTGCAAATTTTGAGGCAGCACGAAGAACGCTGCACAGCTCTTATTTTAATATGATTCAAGTTTGACACAATGTCTCGTGCAAAAGTCGGCATCTTAGTATCATTTGTAATCTGTCTATGCTGTGTAACCTCGTCTACACCATGCAACCGACGCCATGCTCTGCATTGCACTGCTCCCTGGAAGAAATGGGGTGGATCTTGCTACCTCATCACCCAAAAGCCTCTGACGTACGACGACGCCCGTGAAGCCTGCCGTAGACTGGGAGCCAAGATGGCAGCGCCGCGCTCAGACCAGGAAAACGACTTCCTGGCAAGCCTGGCCCAAGGCAGTGTGATTTGGGTGGCTTGCACCGATCGCAGGCAGGAGGGTGAGTGGGAGTGTGAAGGATCTCAAGACGGTCAAGGAATCTACACCAACTGGGGAAAGGGAGAGCCAAATGACTACGGAGGGCGGGAGGACTGTGTCGTTTTATGGCCGTTTTACGATCTGAATATAAAGTGGAATGACGTACAGTGTAAGATTGCGGCACGGGCGGTTTGCGAACGATCACCTATTGGATCCTGCTTCACCACCAACAACGAAGGGCGGCTGGAAGTTGACTCTTCATGTCTCTAAAGTGACATTGGAACGATTTCACTTGAAATCATTCGGACTATTTAATTGGTAATTATAATCATGTACAGATTACTCTGAGTACGTAAAATGGAACTCTTTACGCGTGTCTGCTGCCAAACGGGAACATTTGCATGGATGAAACATTGGTAGTGAACTTCAGGGAATGTAGACCCAGCAACACCAATGCGACCTTTACCAGTCATTTGATGACATTCGATTTTTTTTTTTAAATCTTAATGACATTCTACTAGAAAGTATATGAATTCACGGATTTAAGATACAATACTGTTCGTGTCTAACTGTTCCAAGTTATTATTTAATTTGTAGAATGTTCTTTACCCTTGATTTTAAACTGACTACAATTACACCAGGTCCGAGACCACAGTCACGAATTTCTGAACCGAGTCAAGAGTCTTGTGGAGTCAAAGTCCACGTTTTCCCCTGAAAACGGGAAATACGCATTTTGAAACATTGATCGTTTAAGTATCGATATCATTTCTCAAGCCAATAATCACTAGTTCGCTGAGTGTACTACATTGTCACGCTTGTCTAGGCCTATATATCTTTGGCTAATTCCTAAATCTTGATAGAAATCGTACCTATAGCTCCACTCGCAATGTTGGAATTATGCCACCATTTTCAACACTGTGTCAGTAACCTTAATAAGATACTTACTTCGGTATGTGCGTTTGGTAAGAAGAAGATTAGTTAATGACCATTAGAAGCAATGACTTTAGGTGGTTTTGGGTACCTGTAATTCCTTTTTTTCTTGGATTAGAACGTGTCCTTGGTAGGTATAGTTTCCGTGGAATAATCAAACACATCCTTATCCTAATTCTCGCACAAAATGGAGTATAACTATATTAAGGCTTAGTTCTCAGACTTTGATACTACAAAAGAGGTCTGAACTGCCTAGCCTGAGTAGTCAGACGTGTTGAGTCCTGATTCCCTTCTGACCCATCTATAGGAAACACGGCAGTTATGAAATCAGTTTGTAAAAGATAATTCATTAATCGTGCCAAGCATCACCAGTTCGTACCCACATATCATTTGTTTATGTTTTGTTGGGTAATTGCTAATTGATTGTTCTAGATGACAATCGTGACATTTCAACCAGAAATGCTAGAATTCTCCGAAACATGGGGGACACTGTTCGCAATGTCAAAAGTTGGCGGTGAATGATTATAAACAATTGGTACTTATAACACTTCGAAATTCGCAAAAAACGACATTTCTTTCATGCAGATATTGATCTTCGTTTTGTTACTGTAATTGCACACACGCATTTTTAATTTCAAAAGTAATAGCTTGGAAATTGATCAATAAAGCTTTACTTAGAAAACAATCCTATCCTTAGTTCTCGTCAGCTTTGCGGTAAAATTATTGACTTCTCTAATCTGCGCAGAATAGTTTGTTTAATTTCAGCTATGAACACTTAAAATATTGGCCTCGGATACACAACGGGGATGGGGTGTGTTGGGTGTGGGGTTGGGCTGGGGATATATGGACATCATCTGACCTATATGGGGCCGCGGTTCAAAGCGGACGATCTGAGACACTATCTGATAAATAGGTGAATAATTTGCCGTTGCACTTTTTTCCCGTAGGATTGGAATCAACTTCCATGCATTATTCAATAGTTTCGAAGTGAAATAATGAAACAAGATTTGGGATAGGGGCGGGCAGCGATTTTTTTTCCCAAAAGAGATGGGGCAATATCAGAAGAGGGCGCTCTCTCTGCGTTATGCATATTCATGATATGCCCAGGGCTTTAGAGAAAAGAGTTTAGACAACAAGGAGTGATGGTGTTTAAATCACCGACGATTGGCAGCTGATTTGTGGACTGGTTGGAAGTAGTCCTGACTTCTAATCAGGTGATCTAAGTTCGAATCACAGTGAGCGTTTTTCACTTCTCATTTTACCTTTAAATAACTAAAGTGAGGAAGGAACACAATTTTTCTCACAAGACGTCAAGCCTATCTTGGCTTTTTGTTGTGGAGAATAAGGCATGAGATATGCAATGGACCAATCAGAAGATGGGAAACGGATGTCGTTTGTGGGAAAAAAGATTCGCAGGCGGGCAAGATATATTGTGGTGTTTCTTAAAGGGAAAATACAACATGTGCAAACATCAAAAAATAAAACTACCAAATCATTTTGAAATACCTTGCTGGACTGTTAGTGAATGACAATGTAAAGCATCCTGTAAAATCATGGCACCTGGTTTACTGTCATTTTCAAGAAAAGTGGTATTTTTGTATCAATTTCCAACGCTGATCGGCCGATCAGCGTTGGAAAAAAAACTGTTTTTTTTTTTCAAATACTGGCCCCAATTGACCATCGCACTTGTTTGCAATCGATTACAAACCTATGAACGGGTACGAGCCAGCTAGACTGGTTCCCTGACCTTACAATTCCCCAAGGTATGTAAACTGTTCTGTTTCTTCTTATATGGAGTCAGGGAACCAGACTACAGGAAAATGATTGTTTTTCTTGGTTTTTATAGTATTTTCGAACCCAAAACCTCAAAAAAGTCAGTGTAACGATATTTGCTATATATTTCCAACCCCCCAATTCCATCCATTTCTGAAAATTACAGCAAAAGCAAATGATGTATATTCCCTTTAAAAGGCAAAATTGCAGAGCACTGTGTAATAATAAACAGTCCATAAGATGAATTTTGTCCCAGGAACGCATTTTGCGGAACTTTTAACCCCTCTAAAGGGCCATACAATGTATTTTTTTTTAATGCAGTCCTTGAAAATGTTTCCTATTTAACCCTATTTTCAATATTCGTTTCGCCATTTTCAAGGGTATTTTGGCTTTTGTATGCTGATGCACAATTCCATATTCATGAGCAACAGTAATTTTGTATTCACATTTAAACAGATAACCCCAAAACCGAACAGTGTCCACCTGTGATGACATCACAGCAACAGCGCTCGCAGTTATAAATATCGAAAGAAGTGCACTTCTGAATAAAATTAAGCAAAAAAAGAGGGCGCTGTTGCCGTGATGTCAAATTCGCACGGGGGTTAGGGGGTTTTCTGTTCAAATGTTTACCCCAGACATGTGTCATTGAAAACGTTTGTGAGAACATTCTGCTCATTGGTTTATTCCATGTACTGACACAAAACGAATCACCGAAGGAAAGGAAATTTTCAACTGAACAGCAAAATATCCAAGTTTCTGGCTACTAAGTCTTGTGGTGCTGAAAAAGTTGTAACATTGAGATTTCTGCCTCAAATGACACACATTTGCCGTGAATATGAAAGTTTGCATTAGCATAAAAAAAGGCTGAGATATAGCTCTTCGTGAAACAACACGATATAACCGCAGACGCGTAAATTTATGTAATTGCTTTCCCTCCTACAGTATTTCCACTCGGGCAACGATGATGCTTGTTTTGTGTTGTGATGTCGTGGTTACATTGACCACTCACTGGAAGTAACGAACATGTTTACATCCTGGTCCGATGACATACATTAATTACAAAGATGTGCAATTCAGAGTATCCACTTCTGCAAACTATGATACGATTCCCGTCAGCGAGAAAAAAACCTGCAACATTAATACACGTTCGAGAACCCGCTGTTTGTACTGGAAGGGGTTGGCCAATTATTCACGGTGCGTTGGCCAAGTCCATGTGGTATTTCGTATAGGCCCCGAATTTTTCGAAGGCCCTAGCTTTGCCAATTGGATAATCCGGCCCGGTCCGAAAGCTCATTAGTCCGAAGGTTCAATAGTCAGAAGGTTCGTTGGTCCGAAGTTTCGCGAGTATATAGGTTCATCAGTCCGAAAATAGAGTATAAGGTTAATAATCCGAAAGTTCGATAGCCCGAATGGACGATAAATTTCAACAGTCCGAATAGCATCTCAGGGGCAACAGCGTACCAACTTACAGCCAAATGGTTGCTAACAAAAAGCGTCATGCCGTTGTTAGGCAAAGCTAATCCGATTATGTACTTAGATGATATAACAGAGCAGTTAAATTTATGCACGCCCAAAAACATGGCATTTTGAACGTTGTGTTTCTCAGAAAATATGCTCAGTATGATTGAAATGTTACAATATAACGGAATGTTACAATATAACGGAAGAGGAAATTCTAAACTTCATGTCAGTGAAAAAATCGATGCCGAAACGTCAATGCTGGTGATTGGTAAAGCTGACCTCCAAATCTGGAAGAAATCGTTCGAAAACGTCCCCAAATCTCTGTATTTATATCAAATTCTAGGAATTTACGAAAGTTGTTATTTCACGAGTAGTTGAACACTTAATTTGTTGTTACTAATGCTTGCGTTACAAATTGAACCATCTGTAAGAAAATATTCCACGAGGAATTTTAGCCGCCCAAACCCACGTGTATGGTTTTTCTATAGCACCGTGGGCGCTACGGTTGACCGATTTCGGCGCGGCCACACAATGGACGATTGCATATTAGCATTTTCATTAGCGTCACTCGGCTTGACTTGGCGTGGGTCTCGGTATCGACCAACAGAAGCCAGCAAAAGGGTGATATTTATCAATTAATAACTCGTGAAGGAGGCTTTTACGCAAATTGTTACTGCACACCATAATGGATAGGAACCGTGTTAATTTTGTGAGGCTTGAAAAGATTGACAGACATTGCTAGCGCCAGTGTTACAGCTTTCAAATATGCACGTAGCCAGGCCTATTTTTTTTCAACGAAAAGTAAAAAACATATCACAACGATTTTTATCACATAATTGGATCATTATGGAAATAAACCCTGAAAGTTGCATAAAGATACGGTCTTTCAAACGGGAGAAATTAATTTTCAAAGATTTCGCCCGCCAACGTGTACACGTACATGTAGTTTCATTCAAAACAAAGTGTTCAGTAACCTTTAGAAATCGCCCTTCGCAACCAAATGGCTGCTCAGAGAAAAGACAATGAGAAGAAATTACAGTTTTAGAGGTGGGAGGAAAAGTCCAGACGATATTCTGGGGGAAACCCATGGAATCAGGTAGGGACTGAAAACCCAATCCACATATTGACCAAGGAGGGATCCGAACCCGGGTCATGGAAGATGAGGAAGGTACCGCTACGCCAACCTGACTCCCCTTAAGAATATTGAACCTTGTTTTCATCTCTGACTAATGAACTACTACCCATAACCTTATTCTAAATCCAGACTATCGATTATCGAACCTTCGGAATATAACGAACCTTCTGACTATTGCATCGATGCTTGGATGAACGAACTTTATGTTGTTTTCGGACAAAATTAATGAACCCCGGATATGGGAAATTTGTGCGTTTAGACTATCGAACCTTCGGATCAATAAATCTTCGGACTATCGAGCGGACCCCGTACAGTTGAGCTATTTCCATTTGCGAGTTAACTTCTGCCGCTCTTACAACACATACAACACAATCATGCAGGTGATTAATAAGTACGTCCTGGACCGGAGCGAATTACATAACCAAGGGAGGTAATGGACTGAAACTTTAGTTCAGGATGTAAGTATATCTAAAAATGTCAGACGACTTCTCAGTGTTGTGCTCCTCAAACCCTGCGATTAGTGTTGCGATAACAAGTTTGCATTCGGTACTTGATACTTCATTTCTGCTGTGTGCAAGGGGTGACATACTTTGTCACACCCTAAATAATGTCACATTTCGTGAAAATATACATGAGCCGTTAATTGATTTTTTTTATCGCGGTTGGCACAATTAAGGGTATTTTTGGTTTGAACTGTCGATGATTGTAAATTGTTGCTACTAAATAATAGTATTGTTGTGCACTATGTTTTTCAGCCAGATATTGCCTTGTGTCACAACACGTCATAACTGAGGACTTGTAGTTTAATTAAGCAAGTCCGACCTTTCCTAGTTTTCCACCTGGGTAATGATGAAGGTTGTGTTGTGCTGTGTTGTCATGGTTACAGTTAGCGCCGGCAAAATGATTGAATAGATTGTAATCCCAGTGAACTGACCCGATGAATTTAATGATATATAACAGCTATGTAGAAAATTACACCTTGCAAACTAAATTGGTGCAGCATGGAGAAAGCTCCAATGGCCATAATCTGACACAATGTTTTGGTGGAAAGTTGGCATCTTAGTATCACTGACAATCGTTCTAAGTAATAGTTTAATCTCGTCTGCGTCATGCATCCGAGGATATGGGCTTTGCACTGCTCCCTGGAAGAAGTGGGGTGGGTCTTGCTACCTCATCACCCAAAAGCCTCTGACGTACGACGACGCCCGTGAAGCCTGCCATAGACTGGGAGCCAAGATGGCAGCGCCGCGCTCAGACCAGGAAAACGACTTCCTGGCAAGCCTGGCCCAAGGCACTGATATTTGGGTGGCTTGCACCGATCGCAGGCAGGAGGGTGAGTGGGAGTGTGAAGGGTCTCAAAATGGCGGAGGGAACTACACCAACTGGTGGGTTGCCCGCAGTCAGCCCGATAATCATGGCGGAAAGGAGCACTGTGCAACCATATGGTCACCAGACAACAAGTGGAATGACTATCGGTGCAATGGCGAGCAGCTGGCCGTTTGCAAACAGCAACCTCGTACCCATTGCTTCACTACTAACAGTGAAGGTCGCCTTGAAGCTGATTCCTGTCTGTAAAAATGCACTTTAATTTGAAGAGCTGATACGAAAAACCAAATGTTTCAGTCTGGAGCTGTGGCCATGTTTAGGACTGCCGTGTTATCATAGAAGGTATTAACATTAAATAGGACTTCGCCCAAACAGTGATTCCACATTTTATCACGTGATTAACTGGAAACAAATGCTGTTGCACCATGCACCTTTCTCGGGAAGAACAGCTATACCTCGCCTCATCATTAATTAACGGTTTATGAACAAAAATAATGTTAAATCTCAATATATATTTACAACTTGCCTGCTGGGAAAAAGCTCCTGAGGAAGAGCCGAATAATGTAAAAGAGCTGGAACCCTGTGTCTTTTTATGGCCATCAAATATGAATAAATAAAAAGACGAAGGAGGCTGGGGCAGTTTGCAAGCGACCACGTACGTCTTGGATCCTGCTTCACTATACCAACAAAGAAGGGCGGCTGGAAGTTGACTCATGTCTCTAAAGCAACGCTTGCAAGGATATCACCGTAGATATTTATCACTTCAACTTTGTTGTAAACAATTCTATAGGTTAGTTATCATGTACGGTCTGCTTACAGTATGTAAAACGAAAGATTCTTTTTTTACTGTCCAATCTTCAGCGTGTCTACAGCTCAAACTGGAAAAGAAATTTGATAGAACTTGCACTGAACTGCAGCAGTAAACATAGCAACATGTGACACCTACTACCTTTGAGCACATTCATATTTTTTTTATCTAATGACGACCAGAAGGAATGACTTTACGTGGTTTTGGTACCATTGTTTTCTTTTCTCCTAGAGTTGGACTGTTCCTAGGTAGGTAAGTTTCAGGTGAATAATCAAATACATCCTTATCCTTGCACAAAATAACCGTATTCAGGCCTAGTTCTCGTACCTTAATAATACTACATAAGAGGTCTGAATTGCCTATCCCGAGTCATTCATTAGTCAAAGGTATAGAGTCCAACTCTAGCTTATTTCCTTTTTATCTATCCAGATAAGAACCCTGCAGTTATGACAAATTTGCTTGCGGCATTGCCCAATTGGCCATCAAAAACAATAGTGCTCCTCTCGTGATAACATCTCGAGATGGAAAACTGCCCCTCGAAAGCACAATTAGTTCCCCCCCCCCTCGCAACATTTAAACTGTGCCCCTCTCAAGATGAAAACTGGACCCTAAAAAATAATAATGCTCTTCACTCGAATAAAATGGTCACTGAACTGGCCATCAAAAGCAACAGTGCTCCTCTCACGATAAAAAAAATGGTCTCTCTACATAACTAGGTAAAAAGAACACAAAAAGCAAGATGTACAGCTTATTCCTAATGTTTTTTCCTTGTCATATAGGTTTATAGCGAAATGAACGTGACCATATTCTTTTCCTCCACTTTCACACCGACGGAAGGTGCCCCTTTTTCTTAGCAAGTGCCCCTTTTTTGTGATGCCCCCCAGTTTGAAAGCGTTCCGCCGCCCCTATGTTCAACCATTGTAAATATTGTAGTCTTTTATTGTCACAAGTTAGCAATAAATGGTAATAAGACGTCGCTTAGGTGAAAATTTGTCTTGAAAATAGTATACATTTGCTTTTGCTGTAATTTTCAGAAATGGATGGATTTTGGGGTTAGTATTGTACAGCAAATATTGTAACCCTTACCTTTTCAAAGCGAAAGGGCTGCGAAGTTTTGATTGGAGGCTAGCGCCCCCCCCCCCCTCCAGTAGTTACGCCGCTAGTTCGGGGTGAAGGCAACATGTTATTCATAGAACCAAGTGCATATTTCCATTTTTTTAACATAAAAAGTAACAAGTTCAAGTAACAAGATATATAAATCGTCTGAAACACATTAATAGTTGAAGAACTCACCGGAAGATAACAGGACTTCTTGAAAATTGTAGAATCAATATATCATGCATGGTATTGATCACTGAGATGAGTCGTGAAAAAAAAATTCAACTGATATGTAAACATATTGGACGGCTTCTTTAATCCATTGTGTTATTAACTTATCCCACCCTAAGAGTCAAGCTGAGGACACCAAATGTTTTAAAATATGTGTCAGTCTGCAAAGATGACTGAGAAGGAAAATAACAAATGAGGCTTTATGAACTGGGAGAGGATTACAGGAAAAGACGGCGCCAGATCGGGGGTCGAGAGGGGCTAAATATGGATTTATTTTGAAAAAGAAAAAAAATACAGTAGTACAGACCTATACATTGCATATTCTCTTCTCAGTCAGACATGGCTGGACGTGACATCACGGTTTACATAAAGACCGTATATGCAATAAGATTTTCCACTGAGTCAACCACGACCGTTGTGTTGTGCTGTGTTGTCATGGTTACATGGACCACTCACAGAAATTACTGAATTGGTTGAAATCCTGCTATAATAGCCCATTTTTTTCCTAATGGTAGTAGTAATAATTGCTATTAAAAGGTATTAGACATTGCCTGATGCGTTTGGTGCAGCATGGAGAAAGCTACACTGCTCATAATTTCATACGAACCAAGTCTGGCACAATGTCTTGTGGAAACGTTGACATCTTAATATCATTGGCAATCCTAAACGCTAACTTGAGCTTTTCTGCAACATGCAGCCAGAGCCAAGGGCTTTGCACTGCTCCCTGGAAGAAATGGGGTGGATCTTGCTACCTCATCACCCAAAAGCATCTGACGAACGACGATGCCCGTGAAGCCTGCCGTAGACTGGGAGCCAAGATGACAGCGCCGCGCTCAGACCAGGAAAACGACTTCCTGGCAAGCCTGGCCCAAGGCAGTAAGATTTGGGTGGCTTGCACCGATCGCAGGCAGGAGGGTGAGTGTGAGTGTGAATGGTCTCAAGACGGTGAAGGAATCTACACCAACTGGAGGGAGGGAGAGCCGAATAACTACGGAGGGCGGGAGGACTGTGTCTTTTTATGGCCATCAGACAAGAAGTGGAATGACGTACGGTGTGAGATTGAGATATGGGCAGTTTGCAAGCGACAGCTCGGATCCTGCTTCTCTACCAACAACGAAGGGCGGCTGGAAGTTGACTCTTGTCTCTAAATTGACATTTGGAACGATTTCACTTGGAATCATTCGGAACAATTTAATTGGTAATTATAATCATGTATGGTCTGCCCTGAGTATGTCAAATGGAACTCTTTACGCGTGACTGCTGCTCAAACGGGAACACTTGCACGGATGAAATATTGGTACTGAACTTCAGGAATGTAGATCCAGCAACACCAATGCGACCCTTACCAGTCTTTGGATGACATTCTGTTTTTGTTTAATCTTAATGACGTTCTATCAGAAGGTATGAATTCACGGGTTTACGATGCAATACTTTTCGTGTCTTTTAGTTGGGCTGTTTCAAATTTCGTTTATACAAGGTTCTTAAACCTTAATTTATACTGACTACAATTATTCCAGGTCCGAGACCACAGTCAAGAATTTCTAAACCGAGTCAAGAGTCTTGTTGAGTCAAAGTCAACGTTTTCCCCTGAAACAGGAAATACGCATACGCTGGGTTATTTAGACCTCTCTCAGCCGGGGGGCGGATTCCGCCCCCCTAAGATCTCGGCTATCGAGTGACGACAAATTTTGAAACTCGGTACATGCAACTCGCGACAAAAAAAATTCAAACCTAGCTCGCAAAAAGTTAAGGGAGATTCCCCCCCCCCCGGGTTAAAACATCAATCGTTCATGTATCGATATCATATTTTTGGCTCATTCCTAAATATTGATTGAAATCGTACCTATAATTCCACTTGCAATGTTGGAATTATGCCAAGCATTTTTAACACTGTGACAGTAACCTTAGAAAGATGCGCACTTCAGTACGTGTGTTTGTTTAGAAGTAGACTAGCTAATAACGATCAGAAGGAATGACTTCGCGTGGTTTTTGGTACCGGTTATTTCTCTTCTCTTTGAGTAAGATTTTTCCTCTGTAGGTATAGTTTCCGTAGAATAATCAAACACATCCTTATTCTTATCCTTGCACAAAATGGAGTATAACTATATTTAGGCTTAGTTCTCAAACCTTGATACTACAAAAGAGGTCTGAATTGCCTAGCCTGAGTAGTCAGACGTGTTGAGTCCTACTGTAGCTTATTCCCTTATGGCCCATCTATAGGAATCACCGCAGTTAGGACATCAATTTGTAAAAGATATTTCATTTATCGTGGCAAGTATTACTAGTTCGTACCCGCAGATCGTTTGTTTCTGTTTAGTTGGATCATTGCTAATTTATTATTCATGTGAACATTGTTGGCAACGTCAAAAGTTAGCGATAAATGAAAATAAACGATTAGTCCTTAAAACTTCAAAATTCGCATTACAATTTTTTTTACATGTAGATATTGAACCCTGTTTTATTATTGTAATTCCACACATGTATTGACTTTTCAAAAGCAAACCAATGGCTTGGGAAATTTTTCAGTAATAAATTAATAAAGCTTCACTTAAAATAATACTATCCTTAGTTCACACCAGCTTTGCGGTATATTGACTTCTCCAATCTGCCCAGAATAGTCTGATGTTTACTTTCATTCATGGGGTGGGGGAGGCTAGGGAGGGTGTGGGAGTTGTTGTCCTCACGATATATGGACATCGGGTTGATTTTTGGGGGCGCTCTTCAAAGCGGACGATCTTAAACACCGTGGACAAATAGTTCGACAATCTGCCGTGGCATGCAATTTCTTTGTTCCCGTAGGCTGGAAATTAACTTTCATGCACTATTTGGTAGTTTCGATGGCAAAATTATGAAACAAGATTCAGGATAGGGGCGGGCAAGATAAAGGTGTTTTTTGAAGAGCGAAATTGCACAGTAATGTGTAATATTAACTTCGCATATATTTTTCCAATCATGGTTTCTTCATGAAACATCGCAGCATAACTGCAGACGCGCAATTTTATGAAATTGATTTTTCCTCCATTTTTTTTTCACTCGGTGAGGATGATGTAATAGAACCGCTCACTGACATTAACGAACATGTTTATGTCCTGGTCTAATGACGTTTATAAAAACAAATGTGCTATTCAAGGTGTACCACTTGTCTACTGCATTTTGTGCAGCACGAAGCCCGCTGGAAAGCCCGCATTTTGATAAATGAACCGAGTTTGACACAATGTCTCGTGCAAACTGGAAAGGTTGGCATCTTAGTATCATTTGCTATTTTTCTTAGTGGTTTCAGCTCGTCTTCGTTATGCAGTCGACACCATGGGCTTTGCACTGCTCCCTGGAAGAAATGGGTTGGGTCTTGCTACCTCATCACCCACATGCCTCTGACGTACGACGACACCCGTGAAGGCTGCTGATCGCAGGCAGGAGGGTGAGATGGAGTGTGAGGGGTCTCAAGACGGTCAAGGAATCTACACCAACTGGAGGGAAGGAGATCCGAATAATTCAGGAGGGCGGGAACATTGTTCAACATTGTAGGCTGGCAAAACGTGGCTTGACGTGTGAGAAAAAGGCTAAGCATAGGGCAGTTTGCAAGCGACAATCTATCTTGCTTCATTACCAGTCTACCAACAGCGAAGGCGACTTGAAGTAGACTGTTGTCTCTTAAGCCAAATTTTAAACAATGTATTGAATAGAATCAAACGCTTTTGAATTTTTTTTGTCTTTAATCATGTTTGATCGACACAGAACAAATAATTAATAAATTTGCATATTTGTACCATCTAAATCGTCATGCAGGACTCGACTGCTAAAGCAACAGGATTGTGTTTGGATGATCAGGCAGAATTATATTGCGATTTACCGACACAACGAAACTGCTTATCGCAAATGCACTAAGCTACATGCAGTGACACAAAATGACATGGAAACATGGTAAAGAGCGGTTCATACTTCACGCTCCATTTTCAAACTGAAACGAATTACACGACGCAATGAAATTAAGTTAAGTTCGCTAGCACTTTCTGATTCAAATTCCATGTGCTGACGGTTATATTGTAATTTCAGGTGCAAACTATGAACCATTCCCATCAGGGAGGCAAAGAAAAACCAGAGTAGCAAGAATTTGGTAAGATCTCCTTAGAAGTACGCCCAGTTGTGGGGTGATTCATCGGGGAAAAGTTATACATCGTGTAACTGTTTCTTCGCACAAATGATGTTGGACTTGTAGAGGTATGCACTCTGACAATAACGTTTGCGCATAAAAAATAGTAAAATTGTTTAAAAGTTGCAAATTAAAAATTGCAAACTTTGAAACAATCAAAGTCCTTAACACTGTTTGTTATCTTAGTTTACGGGAAATTTAGATTCATGTGAAGTTTGAAATACAGATGATTTTGTGTTTTTTTTTAATTTGTCAACTAGATTCATCAAAATAAAAACCGGAAAAAATGAAATAAAAGTTGAAAAAAAATGGAGTGTTAGTGTTCGTCAAAAGGTTAAGTTTGACATTAATTATGTTCCTTTCTTCTCTAATAAATACCGTTTCATTTGGTCGCGCTTGCTCATTTATGTCGTAACTGTTATTTTTAATGCATTTCGTAGACGTTTATTGCGGTATCACGTCAATTGCTAACGCCATTAATAGCAGCCATTTTTTTTTAAATGTACTGCTGCATCAAGCATTAATATAGAGGGTATATTAAAAGGGGCCAGAAAAGGGAAAGCCTCTTCGTTCCATTTCCCCTGAAAATGGCGTTTGAAGTTAATTAACATAAAAATAGGAGTTCGACCCAACTGTGATTCCACATTTCATCACGTGATCAGTCAGGGGAAAACGCTGTTGCACCATGCACCTTTGTTGGGAAGAACGGGTACCTCGACGTTTGGAACAGTGTGATCTTGTTCATCGTCAGGAGAACTCTGGAGCACCAGACGCGTAGGGATTTAAGTTACTTACACAACGTACGGCAGTGGTGGAAACCCGCAGGCAATCAGTGTGCAGGCTGGATACCTTGCGTTGTGTGACAGTTGAGATTGTGGAAACTTCTGCGTACCGCGCTCCTTGATTTCTAAACAATGCAACTCTTCATTAAGTAATAACTTTTTAATCACTTTTTTATAAATCGGCGGATAAGAGGAAGCTCAAAAAGACATCACTGTTTCAAGAGTAACTACAGCATTAATAAGGACACATTATGGAAGCAGCTACATGCCGTTTTCACGGTTACCGTCATCTCAGTTGTGGTCACGTGGTAATCTCGAGGGCTTTTAAAAAAAAATACGTCCCATCATGCACGTTGAGAAAACACTGGCATGATTGGGTGGATTTTAAATGAAACGCGCCCTAAGATTACCACGTGGTCACACTGGATGGCGGCATCGTGAAACGATCCATGTTCTTCGGATAAAAGGTCTTTAAACAGCGCCCTCTTGTGCTCAAGAGTGTTAAACATTACAACGCATCTACACAATTTTGTTAATCACTAAAACATTGATTCCGAGGGAAAAAACAAGCAAGTTAATCCCCCTAAAATATTTCTTTTACCATAACTAAGCTAAAATGGTGTTATTTGGTGGACAGCCAAAGTATTTTTTGCATAATTTCTACATTTTTTTTTTATTGAAATGCTTTCAATTTTATTTCATGAATAATTGTATAGTTAACTTCCCGTTGTCCACTAGGCTTCTGTGGTAACCTGACGACATCTGTTCTTTTGAATTAGGGCTCACTAGGAAATGCAGTGGCCCAAATCCTGTAAGATTGACGTTGACTTCATTGTTCTTTTTTATTTTCACGGTTAAACACAATTGTACTTCGAAATTGATTCACATGTCTGTGGGGAAATATCGCATGCCGTCACGAACAGCGCCACCTATTGTCCGATAATGTCGAAGATCAGAGCGAACTAAAAAGTCAGTTGGTGTCCATCCGCAACAGCCCCCGCCCCACCCCCTCCCCAACACCCACACCCACCCCAGCTCAACCCCCAGCCGAGGCCAATATTTTGAGTAATCATTGATGAGAGTAAACATCCCACTATTCTCGACAGGTTTTGAAATCAGTTTACTGCAAATTAAGCTGGTGAGAACTAAGGATAGTATTATTCTAAGTGAAGCTTTATTACTAATCAAATTTCAAGCTATTGCTTGTGAAAAGTCAATAAAACTACATGTGTGCAATCACAATAATAAAACGGAGTTCAATATCTACACAAAGTCATCTATGTAAATTTTGTTGTGTTAATCTGTTATTAACATTTATCACCAAATGTTTGACATTACGAAGTCTATTTTCCCCATGTTTCGTAGAATAAAAATTCAATAATATTGCTAGTTGAATTGTAGCCACGATTTTGTCAAGTAATCAGTAATTACCAAAAAAGCAGGAACAAACGATATATTGATATGAAGTTATACTCTTTTTAAGAATTGATGCTCATAAGAGCGTTTTTTTTCCCCAGACGAAAAGAAATTACCGGCACCATAGACCACGTGAAGTAATTCTGGTCGTCATTAGATTAAAAAAAATAGGAATCTTCTCAAAAATGGTAATTGTCACATAGATGTTGCTGGGTTTACTGTCCAACTGTTCAGTGTAAGTTTCATCATAGTAAAATGTGTTCCAGTTTAAGCAGCAGTCATACTGGAGATTTGAACAGTCGAAAAAAGTTTCGTTTTACATATATAAAGCAGATAAATGATAACTAAACTAAAAAATGGTTTAAAACTGATTTAAAGTGATCAAAATTCACGGTGACATCTTTCCAAATGTCACTTTAGAGACAAGAGTCAACTTCCAGCCGCCCTTCGTTGTTGGTAGTGAAGCAGGATCCAGAAGGTGATCGCTCGCAAACCGCCCGCACCGCAATCTTACACGGTACATCATTCCACTTATTCAGATCTATTGGCCGTAAAAAGACACAGTCCTCATGCCCTCCGTTACTTGGCTCGCCCTCTCTCCAGTTGGTGTAGATTCCTTGACCGTCTTGAGACCCTTCACACTCCCACTCACCCTCCTGCCTGCGATCGGTGCAAGCCACCCAAATCGCACTGCCTTGGGCCAGGCTTGCCAGGAAGTCGTTTTCCTGGTCAGAGTGCGGCGCTGCCATCTTGGCTCCCAGTCCACGGCAGGCTTCACTGGCGTCGTCGTACGTCAGAGGCTTTTGGGTGATGAGGTAGCAAGATCCACCCCATTTCTTCCAGGGAGCAGCACAAAGCCCATGACGTCGATTGCATGATGGAGACAAGCTTAAGCTACCACTTACAAGAATTGCCAGTGATACCAAGATGCCAACATTTCCGCAAGACATGATGCCAAACATTGTTCACAATGAAGCATGACCCCTGCAGCTTCGTCGTGCTGCACAATATTCAGTGCGCAGGGTATAGTACTCTTAGTTTTATTAATCGCATCCATCAGATCAATACACCAGGATAACAACCTTTCGGTAGTTTCAGCTAATGGTACATTGTAACCATGACAACACAGCATAACCCAACCATTATCGTTGCCCACGGGAACAATTGGGGAATGGTCGTGTACTGCATTAATTAAATTACATGAGTTTTTGTCTGGAAAAGGCGAAGTGAATAATATGCACAAATATTATAAAACGGTATTCAATATGTCAGTTAAGTTACATTTTCCGTGTTATTTTTTAGTATCATTTTGAAAACAGATTTCTGTTGCTAAATTGTTATTTTTCCAGTAATTCAAAAGTAATTCTTTGTTGAATGAGACATTGATGGGCAAAATTCGGCCCTTGTTTTGCAATTGAATTATTACTGGACGGTTTTCGGTTGGAATAAAACATACGAGTTGAATTGAATATGTTGAAGAGCACGTGGAACGCAACTTTAATGTAATAAAAACATATCCCCGGAAATAAAGGCCATGGAGAGGCGAATGTGGAGAATGTATAACCGAAGTTTGAATTGTAATCATTCCGTTATGTATGTCTCACGGAGCCTTGCGAAATATTAGAAAGCCAATGGTCGAAAGGTTGCTTGCCAGTATGAGAAACTTGTGTTTTGAGAATCAACCTCATTCCCATGGTGTCGAGCAGTACGCTCCTATTACCTGCTCTCTCACCCTGATACCGGTTCATTTGGATGGCCAAATATCTTGAGTATGTAAATTAAATATGGGATAGTCTGGTGTCTGCCTATTCTGAAAATCAGAGTTTTTTTATGCGGTGTTCGGTGTACAGACGGAATAAATTGGAGATACTAAAAATAAAAAAAATGTCAAGTTATAATGTTAAAATCGGTATCCATCAAATATGCAGTAATTCTTTTCAACATTTCCGACGTATTCTTCATCTGTGTAGGTTGTCTGCCTTTTGAGAGTTACAAGGTACCAACCATCGACACAACGAACGTTATGACAAATGAGACAAATTGGATGGAGCGACTACTACAAAGGTATGGGTTATTGATTGAGTCTCAAGCGAGCTTACATCAAGTCAATTATGCATTAATGGCATGGTTACCATAGCAACTTAAGCATGTAGCAGAATAAAATGATACTTGTATACATTAGCTTAATCTTTGGTTTAGACGAGGCCAACAATTCAAGTGTTCGTAGACGATGGTAAAACTATCGGACCAGTGAGAAGTCAAACACATTACAAAGCTGATGAAGATTAAGGATACCAACATGCCAAGTGTAGCTTTATTAGGCTATTGAACAATTCTCCAAAGCTAATGCTTTCAAAAAGTCAATTCAACATTGTTTACAATCACAATAATACAACTGGAAAATTTAAAATACGGAGTTCAATATGTACAAAAAGTGTCTCGATATTCGTATCTCGTGTATGCGTTTCAGAGGAAAAGCCCATGGTTTGTTTAAGTGCTTATATTTTATAAACGTTTATCGCAATTTTTTTGAGGTTACGACGACCACGATTTTCACAATAGTTGCAGAATTCTACCATAATTCCAGTTTGAATTGTTTGGGATGTCACGGTTAAAATCAAGTGCAACCAATCAGCAATCACCCAAAGAGATATATGACGCATGATCGTATAGTGCACAGCAAAATGTTAATTCTTGGCACTAATGATATCTACTCTTAAAAATTGATCTGAAAAGCAGACAGGGTGATTTGCATTTATCCCAAAACTAACCTAGCGAATTATTATCACAAAGCTCACTTGGATTAAAGATCGCAGTGGTACTCTACACCCCGTGAAATTATTCCGTCTGGCTTACTGTCATTTAGGAGAAATTAAGAATTATAGGTGATTTGCAACTATCAGTCATTCGACTAATTTGTCAGAAAAAGGTTGCTATAGGCGAAATCGTGTTTCGTGATCAAAAGGTTGAGCATGTGTTTGTTCGTTTTCCCATTTTTTCTCAACAAGTGTAATATCCACTGACCTGAAACTTTAACAGGTTAGGTTTTGAACATTTTTCTTTGGATTTTGAGTGGTGTTATTATCGGAAACGAAAAAATGCATGACAAGCAAATAATCATAATGGCTTGAATCAGTGCGTCTTTTTTCACAATGGTCAGAAGGAAATTATTTGACTTTTACTAAATTTCATGACTTATGAAATAAACTAGGATGGAGACTTGGAGACATTAACCTAATAAAGGTTGTACTATATTTGTGTGAGGACGAGGATAATGATAAGTTTGATAATTCAAAGGTCTATAGATCGTCAATAGTTCTGAAACTTACCGACCAAGGCCATTCCTTACTAGAAGAAAGGTCAACACCCCTTCCGAAATCATTCCTTCTGGTAGGATCTCATTTATACCAAGACATTTATATAAGAAAGTAATCTGACGAATGGTAAGTGGCATATACGTGTTACTTGTTTGACTGTTCTGCATTTCGTTCCAATTTCATCATCAATGCGAAAAGTCCAGCTAATGCAGCATTCCTACGTGAAGATTCCAACAGTCAAATTGATTTGAAGTTTTTAAAATCCACGGTTTATCATTCAAAGTGTAGTTTTAGAGGCAAGAGTCAACTTCGATCCGCCCTTCATTGTTGGTAGTGAAGCAGGATCCGAGAGATTGTCGCTTGCAGACCGTCAGCAGCTTCACCTCACACCGTACCTCATTCCATTTTTTGCCTGCCGGTATGTAGCAAAATGTTCCCCCAGTCCTCCATTATTCGGTTCTCTGTCCCTCCATTTGCTGTATATTTCTTTGCCCTGTTTGAGACCCCACACATTCAGATCTCATTACAAGCTCTAGAGACAAGAATCATCTTCAAGACGTCCTTCGCTGTTAGTAGTGAAGCAATGGGTACGTGGTTCCTGTTTGCAAACGGCCAGCTGCTCGCCATTACACCGATAGTCATTCCACTTCTTGTCTGGTGACCACATGAATGCACAGTGCTCATTTTCGCCGAAATTATCGGGCTGCTCACCTTTCCAGTTGGTGTAGATTCCTTGACCGTCTTGAGACCCCTCACACTCCCACTCGCCCTCCTGCCTGCGATCGGTGCAAGCCACCCAAATCACACTGCCTTGGGCCAGGCTTGCCAGGAAGTCGTTTTCCTGGTCAGAGTGCGGCGCTGCCATCTTGGCTCCCAGTCTACGGCAGGCTTCACGGGCTTCGTCGTACGTCAGAGGCTTTTGGGTGATGAAGTAGCAAGATCCACCCCATTTCTTCCAGGGAGCAGTGCAAAGCCCATGGCGTCGGTTGCAGGATGGAGACAAGCTCAAGCTACCACTAAGAAGGAGCGTCATTGATACCAAGATGCCAACTTTTCCACACGACATGATGACCAACTTGGTTCACCTTAAAATTATGACCAGTGCAGCTTTCTCCTTGCTACACTTAATCCAACGCGCAAATGCCAACACTAAAAAGGCTATTTATATCATCACCTTCATCGATTGAATAATACCTGATTGCAATCTATTCAACATTTCAGTGAGAGGCACACGTAACCATGCCAACACAGCACAACAAAACCGTCATCGTTGCCACATTGGAAAATGGGGAATGGTCGTACTGCATTTATTAAAATACCAATCTAAGTGTTCTGACATGAGGCGATATTTGACTAAAATGTATACAATTACACGATGAATATGCAAGTTATTACTGTATTTTTTAACTTCAGTTTACAATCTTTTATAATAGTTCCCCACGCTATTTTCGACTTTCATCCCGAAAATAGATTCTTTTTCTAAATTGTTGTTTTTTACTAATAAATAAATACAAAAGTTAATCACTTTTGAATGAGACATCGACTGAAAAAAAGGTGATTGAATTATTACTATAAATTTCGAATTATTGGCTTCAAGTCAATAATTCTGATCTCACGGGAGAGGCTGGTTCCTGCTCCATTATCAGTATCAATAATGTACCGACCAGGAGCCATCTTCTCCCAAAGTAGATCTGTTTATGTCCCCTCCCCCCACATAATAACTGTTCTGAGTGTTAAAAATACACATCCAATCTCTCCCCTTTTTCCCCCTGTTGTTACGCCACTGAGTGGACGAAATAATTCACAGTCACGTTTAAAACACGTATATATATATGTAAGAATTGTAATCACCAAGTATCGGATATCAATCCATTAATTACCGTTGTGGTATCGGATCAGGATACATGAAGCAAGCTTCCCACCGAGGGGCTGCTATTGGAAATGAAGTGGGCCCTGTGGACGAGTGTGACCGGGAATCGGTTCACACCAGGCGCGGATCCAGGGGGGGGGGGGGGCGAAACCACCCAGCTCTGTCAACATTTCTTTTTCATAGAAATTCATGAAAAAATGCGAACCCCCCCCCCTGCTCCGACACACAATTGGTTTTTGCTAGTAATAATGTCCGCCTTGCACAAAATACGTACAGAGACTGCTTGGTTAGGGGGTACATGTATATTATTTTGTGATATAGTGTTAATAATCGTCGCATTTGAACACCGCCCTCATTGAAAGTATAGAACGAGCCCCCCCCCCCCCCCCCCCGTCCCGCTTTTTGATTTTACGGAGGCAGGGTGTCCTGAGAAAAAAAACCTGTCAACATTTCAGGGGTTTTTTGCCTATACAAACCCCAGCCTGCGAAAATTCCTGGATCCGCCCCTACACACTAACTCTTTCAGAGGTTTTATTAGCGAGCAGGCTGCCTATGCTCTTGATATGTATTCGGGTAAAATACTGTGGTTTGAAGTCCTTTTGGCAAGGCAAATCACTGTTAGATCCTATCTTTGATATAGTAATTTCATTCTTAAAGAGGTTGTGGAATGCTCGAAAACATTTCCGTCATTTTTGGGGTATATGTAGCCTAAGGTGTGATGAAATAAAACGACTATTGTTTCTGTCATGAAATGAGTACAAAGGGTACTTTTGAGAGCTTTTTTTCAGGTTCTGTTTCGACCCGAACGTGCAATTCGTGTAAAAGTCGTCGTTGCGGGCAGCAAACAAATCACAGTAAATCGTTACGTAATAAACAGGACTCGTTTATGCTACTCTGCATCGGGAGTTCTGTTTATTACGTCACGATTTACTGTGTTTTGTTTGCTGCCCGCAACGACGACTTTTACACAAATTGCACGTTCGGTTCGAAACAGGCATGACAGGACTTGAAAAACAGCTCTCAAAAGTACCCTTTGTACTCATTTTTATGACAGAAACAATAGTCGTTTTTATTTCATCACACCTTAGGCTACATATACCCGAAGAATGACGGAAATGTCTTCGAGCATTCCACAACCTCTTTAATTATCGGCGTTTGGGGCAGATTTGATAAAGACTACGGCTAAAAGGATGAAACAATAGACTAACGACAATTAATAGAAAGTCGGAAATGCTGTAAATGATAATTATTTGAATAAGCAAATAAACCACAAAGGTATGTCTTACTTAGACTCAATAATTACGTTTAATTAAAAAATGTAAACTCGTATACCTTTTTAATGTTCGATGTGATATGGATTTTGGATATATTATCGATTTCCATATACGTTTATACCAAAAACATTATATTGTAATATATTTATACATATATATATATATTACTTTCGCTTGCTTTATTGTTGTGCCATTACTAAATAAACCAATTTCACGATCAATTACATTATATTGTAACGTATTCATAAATATTACTTTGGCTTTGTTTTTTGTTGTACCATTATTAAACAAACCAATTTTAAGGATCTATTATGAAGTTAGTTTTAACGCGCTTCAAAATAAGCACTATAATAGACACAAACCCATGAGTTTCAGTAAATGTGTCTGCGTTTAAATAGTCTTTGTAATATAAGACAGCCTGGGTCGAGAATATGGCAAGGCCGCTCGGACCAAAACGTCGGTCTCCTCATATAAGTTCCTCTACTTTCATTGATGCGAGAAAAGACATAACTGTTTAACCGGCTTTTGTTGATTGTCATTTTAAAAAAGAATTAAAATCAGAGATAACCAGGTGATGTTTGGCGCGGATGTTGAAACAAATGTAAGTTCAACTTACAAAGCACATGCGTAGAAGGGATGGAGAGGTTTGAACAAGTACACAGTCATTGAGGCCGGTAAAAGTCACATCCCCTTCACACTTTGTATGTTAATCCAAATTAAAGACTTACGCTTCCAGAGCTCCAAAGTCATCCTGATGACGAACAGATCCAACTGTGAAGAATGTCGCTGACCGTTTCCTCTCAGAACCAAAGACGACTCACAGCAAAGGTACATGGTACTACAACATATTACCTAGTTGATCACGTGATTAAATGTGGAATTAATGTTACAGCTATTTCGAGTCATTCATGAATTTCATGTTGGACACCCTTTGTGATATCGCAGTCCTAAATATGCAAATTACCCCAAAAGGTGATTTCCCCCAATCAAATCTCATTACAAGCTCTAGAGACAAGAATCAGCTTCAAGACGACCGTCGTTGTTAGTAGTGAAGCAGTGGGTACGAGGTTGCTGTTTGCAAACGGCCAGCTGCTCGCCATTGCACCGATAGTCATTCCATTTCTTGTCTGGTGACCATATGGTTGCACAGTGCTCATTTCCGCCGGCATTATCGGGCTGACCGTCCATCCAGTTAATGTAGATTCCTTGACCGTCTTGAGACCCCTCACATTCCCACTCGCCCTCCTGCCTGAGATCGGTGCAAGCCACCCAAATCTTACTGCCTTGGGCCAGGCTTGCCAGGAAGTCGTTTTCCTGGTCTGAGCGCGGCGCTGCCATCTTGGCTCCCAGTCCACGGCAGGCTTCACGGGCGTCGTCGTACGTCAGAGGCTTTAGGGTGATGAGGTAGCAAGATCCACCCCATTTCTTCCAGGGAGCAGTGCAAAGCCCATGGTGTCGGTTGCATGACGCAGGCGGGCTTAAGCTACCACTAAGAAGCATTGCCAATGATAGGAAGATGTAAACGAAACGATACATTTTCAAAACCTCAGACGTATTCTTCATCTGTGTAAAGTTGTCTGCCTTTTGAGCGCTACAAGGCACCAGCCAGCGACACAATCAGCATTATGACAAATGAGACAAATTAGATGAAGCGACTACTACAAAGGTATGGGTTATTGATTGAGTCTCAAGTGAGCTTACATCAAGTCAATTATCCATTTATGGCGTGGTTACCATAACAACTCAAGCATGTAGCAGAATGAAATAACACATTAACATAATCTTTGGTTTAAACGAGGCAAATATTTCAAGTGTTCGTAGACGATGGTAAAGCTATCGGACCAGTGAGAAGTCAAACACATCACAAAGCTGATGAAGATTAAGGATACCAATATATGCCGAGTAAAGGTTTATTAGGCTATAGTACAACAATTCTTCAAAGCTAATGCTTTCAAATGGTCAATACAACACTGTTTACAATTACAATAATAAAACTGGAAAAATTCAACTACGGAGTTCAATATTTACAAAAATAGTCTATTCCATCATAGTGTTTCACTTGTGTGCCTTTCAGAGCAAAAGCCTATGGTTTAAGTGCTCATCTTTTATCAACATTTATTGCCAATTGAAGGCAATACAAAGACCTAGATGTTGCTAAATCCCTGACAGAATTGTAGTCACGATTGGAATCAGGATATACCAATCAACAATTATACCCAAAGAGATAGGGACGCGTAATCGCTTGGCACAAACTGGTGAATGGCGCGATGAATGAAAACGACTCTTAAAAGTGATCTTAACAGTGCTTTTTTGTCTGGTTTGTCAGAAGGAAAACATTAAAATGTGAATTAATTTCACAACTTGTGAATGAAGCTATAGCATGGAGACTTCGTAGGTTTAAGAACATCGTCAATTCTCCAGAAACTTACCGACCAAAGAAAATAGCTACAGCAAGAAATGGAAAGAAAATAACGGTACAAAAACCCTTCCGAAATCCCTCCTTTTGGTAGGAGCTCATTTAGACTAAAATATTGAGAAAGTTATCTGACGAATGGTAAGTGTCATACTTGCTTGAGTGTTCTGCAGTTCGTTCCAATTTCATCATTAATGCAAACGGTCCTGCCAAAGGAGCATTCCTACGTGAACATTCCAACAGTCAAAAACCAAAAAAAATCTGCATGATGACGGTATACAAACTACCACTACAATTGTTCAAAATGATTTGAAGTTTTTAAAATTTACGGTTAATCATTCAAAATGTAGTTTTACAGGCAAGAGTCAACTTCGATCCGCCCTTCGTTGTTGGTAGTGAAGCAGGATCCGAGAGATTGTCGCTTGCAGACCGTCAGCAGCTTCACCTCACACCGTACGTCATGCCACTTTTGCCTGCCGGTATGTAGCACAATGTTCCCCCAATCCTCCATTATTCGGTTCTCTGTCCTTCCATTTACTGTATATTCCTTGCCCTCTTTGAGACCCCTCACACTCAGATCTCATTACAAGCTCTAGAGACAAGAATCAGCTTCAAGACGCCCGTCGCTGTTAGTAGTGAAGCAATGGGTAAGAGGTTGCTGTTTGCAAACGGCCAGCTGCTCGCCATTGCACCGATAGTCATTCCATTTCTTGTCTGGTGACCATATGGTTGCACAGTGCTCATTTCCGCCGATATTATCGGGCTGACCGCGGGCAACCCACCAATTGGTGTAGATTCCTTGACCGTCTTGAGACCCCTCACACTCCCACTCACCCTCCTGTCTACGATCGGTGCAAGCCACCCAAATCACACTGCCTTGGGCCAGGCTTGCCAGGAAGACGTTTTCCTGGTCAGAGTGCGGCGCTGCCATCTTGGCTCCCAGTCTACGGCAGGCTTCACGGGCGTCGTCGTACGTCAACGAGTTGGATGTAACGCGGTAGCAACTTTCATCCCACTTTGTCCAAGACGCAGGACAAAGCCCATTGCGCGCAACGCATGACTTCGACAGGCTTAGAGGCACTTGAAGGATTGCACATATTATGATTCTGACAAAAAGAGACATTTTTTTTCTCAAACTTGCAGTGTTACCTCAAAAGTGAGCAGTACGCAAATACTTTTGTCTTCACTATCTGCAGTCTGCTTCACTTCAACCTTGGTGCGATTCGCATCACGGCAAAGCCATCATCTCCAATTAGTATAAATGCCACCAGTCGTGAGCAGTTTACCGTGACCAATTAAACAACCGCGCAATTATTAGTCGGAGCTACATATAACTGCGATAATAATGAAAATACATTTTGTTTTAAAAGGCACGACCTTGATGTTCCGACGTTTGATTAGAAGATGTAATTAGCAAAATAAGCAGACAATGTCATACATCAAGTGGCATGATTGGGGTTCAATTAGGTTGCAGTTGGCGCACTTGTCGGGGAGCTCATATTTAAAAAGGGGCACTCAATGGGTTTCAACGATTAAAAGAAATTATTTTCGCCTTCCCCAAAATTATTGCGCCCTGTTGATTTGTTTTTACCGTAAAGGATCTGTTATCATGTCGATAAAACGGATTATCGTGGGTATAATCTCTACCTTTGAAAGGAACAAAAAGTCAATTAAAAAAGGTTGAGCATAATGCATATTTATCTAAAATAGATCTACATCTATGGAAAGTACTTCGCATCCCATCCTGCTTCTTAGCATTCTCGCATGAGATCAGTGCATTTGCACTTCTTTCTTTTGTTAGCCCGTTTGCAAAGTTTTCTTCTGCTGTGACTGTCAGTTCTATAACACCACACACCTATTCTAGGAAGTGGAATATGTGGTGACATCTTGGCGTTTTGCAGTTACCACTATTACTGATGGGAATATTGCAGGACTCTCATCCTCAGCCCAAACTATCTTCCAGTCCTGACAGTTCTCTGGATTAATTCTTTTCAACATATTTCGGACGTGTTCTTCACCTGTGTAGGTGTTTTGCCTTTTGAGCGTTACAAGGTACCAGCCATCGACACAATCAGCATTATGACAAATGAGACAAATTGGACTAAGCGATTACTACAAAGGTATGGGTTATTGATTGAGTCTCAAGCGAGCTTACATCAAGTCAATTATCCAATTATGGCATCGTTACCATAGCAACTTAAGCATGTAGCAGAATAAAATGAAACTTGTAACACATTAGCTTAATCTTTGGTTTAAACGAGGCCAATATTCCAAGTGTTCGTAGACGATGGTAAAACTATCGGACCAGTGAGCAGTCAAACACATTACAAAGCTAATGAAGATTAAGGATACCAACATGCAAAGTGTAGCTTTATTAGGCTATTATACAATTCTCCAAAGCTAATGCTTTCAAAAAGTCAATTCAACATTGTTTACAATCACAATAATACAACTAGAAAACTTAAAATGCGGAGTTCAATATGTACAAAAAGTGTCTCGATATTCGTATCTCGTGTATGCGTTTCAGAGGAAAAGCCCATGGTTTGTTTAAGTGCTTATATTTTATAAACGTTTATCGCAATTTTTTTGAGGTTACGACGACCACGATTTTCACAATAGTTGCAGAATTCTACCATAATTCCAGTTTGAATTGTTTGGGATGTCACGGTTAACATCAAGCGCAACCAATCAGCAATCACCCAAAGAGATATATGACGCATGATCGTATGGTGCACAGCAAACTGTTAATTCTTGGCACTAATGATATCTACTCTTAAAAATTGATCTGAAATGCAGATAGAATGATTTGCATTTATCCCAAAAGTAACCTAGCGAATGATTATCAAAAAGCTCACTTGGATGAAAGATCGCAGTGGTACTATACACCCCGTGAAATTATTCCGTCTGACTTACTGTCATTTAGGAGAAATTAAGAATTATAGGTGATTTGCAACTATCAGTCATTCGACTAATTTGTCAGAAAAAGGTTGCTATAGGCGAAATCGTGTTTCGTGATCAAAAGGTTGAGCATGTGTTTGTTCGTTTTCCCATTTTTTCTCAACAAGTGTAATATCCACTGACCTGAAACTTTAACAGGTTAGGTTTTGAACATTTTTTTGGGATTTTGAGTGGTGTTATTATCGGAAACGAAAAAATTCATGACAAGCAAATAATCATAATGGCTTGAATCAGTTCGTCTCTTTTCGGAATGGTCAGAAGGAAACTATTTGACTTTTACTAAATTTCATGACTTATGAAATAAACTTGGATGTAGACTTGGAGACATTAACCTAATAAAGGTTGTACTCTATTTGTATGAGGACGAGGATAATGATAAGTTTGATAATTCAAAGGTCTATAGATCGTCAATAGTTCTGAAACTTACCGACCAAGGCAAATCATTACTAGAAGAAAGGTCAAAACCCCTTCCGAAATCATTCCTTCTGGTAGGATCTCATTTATACCAAGACATTTATATAAGAAAGTAATCTGACGAATGGTAAGTGTCATATACGTGTTACTTGTATGACTGTTCTGCATTTCGTTCCAATTTCATCATCAATGCAAAAAGTCCTGCTAGAGCAGCATTCCTACGTGAAGATTCCAACAGTCAAAAACAAAAACAATCTGCATGATGGCGGTATACAAATTACCAATACAATAGTTCAAAATGATTTGAAGTTTTTAAAATCCACGGTTAATCATTCAAAATGTAGCTTTAGAGACAAGAGTCAACTTCAAGCCGCCATTCGTTGTTGGAAGTGAAGCAGGATACAATAGTTTGTCGCTTGCAGACCGCCATTAGCTTCACCTCACACCGTACGTCATTCCACTTTTTGCCTGCCGGTATGTAGCACTCCTCCATTATTCGATTCTCTGTCCTTCCGTTTGCAGTAGATTTCTTGGCCTCTTTGAGACCCCTCACAATCAGATCTCATCACAAGCTCTAGAGACAAGAATCCGCTTCGAGACGCCCGTCGCTGTTAGTAATGAAGCAATGGGTAAGAGGTTGCTGTTTGCAAACGGCCAGCTGCTCGCCATTGCACCGATAGTCATTCCATTTCTTGTCTGGTGACCATATGGTTGCACAGTGCTCATTTCCGCCGATATTATCGGGCTGACCGCGGGCAACCCACCAATTGGTATAGATTCCTTGACCGACTTGAGACCCGTCACACTCCCACTCACCCTCCTGCCTGCGATCGGTGCAAGCCACCCAAATCTTACTGCCTTGGGCCAGGCTTGCCAGGAAGTCGTTTTCCTGGTCAGAGTGCGGCGCTGCCATCTTGGCTCCCAGTCTACGGCAGGCTTCACGGGCGTCGTCGTACGTCAGAGACTTTTGGGTGATGAGGTAGCAAGATCCACCCCATTTCTTCCAGGGAGCAGTGCAAAGCCCATGACGTCGATTGCAGGATGGAGACAAGCTCAAGCTACCACTAAGAAGGAGCGTCATTGATACCAATATGCCAACTTTTCCACACGACATGATGACAAACTTGGTTCACCTTAAAATTATGACCAGTGCAGCTTTCTCCTTGCTACACTTTATTCAACGTGCAAATGCCAACACTAGAAAAGGCTATTTATATCATCACCTTCATCGAGTCAATAATACCTGATTGCAATCTATTCAACATTTCAGTGAGAGGCACTCGTAACCATGACAACATAGCACAACAAAACCGTCATCGTTGCCAAATTGGGAAATTGGGAATGGTCGTACTGCATTTATTTAAATACAAATCTAAGTGAGGCGATATTTGACTAAAATGTATACAATTATACGATGAATATGCAAGTTATTATTACTGATTTTTTAGCTTCAGTTTACAATCCTTTACAATAGTTCCCCGCGCTATTTTCGACTTTCATCCCGAAAGTAGATTCCTTTTCTAAATTGCTGGTTTTTTTAATATATAAATACAAAAGTTAATCACTTTTGAATGAGACATTGACTGAAAAAAAAGGTTTTCGAATTATTACTATAAATTTCGAATTATTGGCTTCCAGTCAATAATTCTGATCTCACGGGAGAGGCTGGTTCCTGCTCCATAATCAGTATCAATAATGTACCGACCAGGAGCCATCTTCTCGCAAAGTGGATCTGTTTATGCCCCCTCCCCCCACATAATAACTGTTCTGAGTGTTAAAAATACACATCCAATCTCTCCCCTTTTTCCCCCTGTTGTTACGCCGCTGAGTGGACGAAATAATTCACAGTCAAGGTTTAAACACGTATATATATGTAAGAATTGTAATCACCAAGTATCGGATATCAATCCATTAATTACCGTTGTGGTATCGGATCAGGATACAGGAAGCAAGCTTCCCACCGAGGGGCTGCTATTGGAAATGAAGTGGGCCCTGTGGCGAGTGTGACCGGGAATCGGTTCACACCAGGCGCAGATCCAGGGGGGGGGGGGGGGGGGGGGGGTCGGAACCACCCAGCTCTGTCAACATTTCTTTTTCATAGAAATTCATGAAAAAATGCGAACCCCCCCCCCCCCTGCTCCGACACAAAATTGGGTTTTGCTAGTAATAATGTCCGCCTTGCACAAAATACGTACAGAGACAGTTTGGTTAGGGGGTACATGTATATTATTTTGTGATATAGTGTTAATAATCGTCGCACTTGAACACCGCCCTCATTGAAAGTATGGAACAAGCTGGGTGTCCTGAGAAAAAAACTGTCTACATTTCAGTGGTTTTTTTGCCTATACAAACCCCAGCCTGCGAAAATTCCTGGATCAGCCCCTGCACACTAACTCTTTCAAAGGTATTACTAGCGAGCAAGCTGCCTATGCTCTTCATATGTATTTGGGTAAAATACTGTGGTTTGAAGTCCTTTTGGCACGGCAAATCACTGTTAGATCCTGTCTTTGATACCGTAATTTCATTCTTAATTATCGGCGTTTGGGGCAGATTTGATAA